TTCAAATCACATTACTACTAGCCTTTATCTTATTTTACACCTTTCTACTTTGTTGTCAATTCACCTCATACCATATCCGTAAAAAAATCCCACACCATCAACGATGGGGAACTAATAATTTCACAAGCATATAAAAACAACAACAAACAAGGAAGAAGAGGTCGGTTCTTAAAAAAAGAAAGAAAAACGAAAGAAACAACATCGAAAAGAGGAAAAAAACATAGAGTGAAAAAATGATTTACCTATTTAATTGAAGCATCAATACGTCTCACCATCATCCTCAATTTGAATTTCTCTTGGCAAACTAATCATCTTAATGTAATTTTTCTTTGTATTTAGGATTTCAAGCGAGTTTGGGTTTCAAAATTTAGGGATTTTTTAGTTTGAATTGAAATTGAGTTTGAATGATTGAAAGAAAGGCTAATTAAAGGTATTTGGGTTGTTAATTTAGGGATTAAATCCCAAATTTAGGCTTAATTGAACTAGATTGAAACATATGATTTCCGGATTTTTTAACAATAATAAAATTCAAGGGTTTTCAAGAAATTGGGTTCTCATATGCTTAAATTGGCTTGATCTCGGGAGAAATCAAAATAATTAAGGCTAATTGAAAAAAAAAAAACTAGGGTTCGATTAATCTTGAAAATTTTTGGGTAAATGATTGAATGATGGGTTTTTAATTTTTATGGAGAATCAATAAAGAGAGTGAGAGGTTGAAGGAGGATTAGAGGGGAGCGAGCAAACCGAGAGATGAACTCTATGTCATTCTTCCATAAAGATTGGGCGAGAGAGAGGAAGAAGAAGATGAGATGAGGCGAAGGAAAAATGAGAAGATTAGAGGAATATAACGAGAAAGTGAAGGAAGGAAAGAGAGAAAGAGAGATTGAACTAGAGACGAAGTGGACAAGAAGAGGAAGAAGAGAGAGAGAGAGAGAGAGAGAGAGAGAGAGAGAGAGAGATTAAGTGAGAGGAAGAAAAAGAAAGAAAGAAAGAAGATTTGATCCAAAAGAGAAAAAAGAAAAAAAAAGGAGGTTTAGTTGGTGTTTGTAGGTCTAGCTAAGAATGAAATAGGTTGGGTTAAGCCCAACCCATATGTGGGTGGATTGGGCTAATTTCAGCCCAGTCCAACGTAAGAAAAAAGAAAGAAAGAAAAAAAGAAGAAGAAGGACGAAAAAATTGGGTGGAAAGTATATAATCAACAACGTTATGTTCAAATTAATTAATCGTTGGTGTAATCTTAGACTCATGTTATAAATAAATTATTTCAACTTTATCTCATTTATTACATGTAAATATGTTGACTATCGGATTATTTTACATATATTTTCTATTTCAACTTTCAATATTTTTCTATTTTGACTTCCAAATTCGTGTTTCCTTAAAAAATATATAGTGTTCTTTTTGATAATATTTATTTCTTAGTTATTTTGTTATACCATTAGAACTTCTTTATTGGTAATTTATAGATTTAGTGAGTTGATTATTTGTAGTTGGTACATATTTTATTTGATCTATATTTAAATTTTATTTACATCTACTTGTTTATGTTTGTTTCATAATTATAAATATTATAATATCTATAATTATTATGTGGTTAATGATGAAAACGAGTCGATATTCATTATTGTCCACAACTTTGAGAATTATTCTAGTTCTATACACTAATTCAATGTTATTTAGCGATTTATATTCTTGCACTTTTTTTTCCATCTATGTTAGCATTATATTTTTTATTCAATTAAATGGTTTTATTATTGAACCTTTTTAGGTGCTTTTTGTTGATTTTATTGCGGAATGCTAATTCTATCGTACATATGTCATATTGTTGTTTTAACATCCGATATGCCATTTATTTCAACAATTTCTTACCTTTTCTTTATATATAGGTTTTACATACGTAAAGTAGTTTTTTTATTCATCTTGTTCGATTATACATGTGCTTTCTATTATTATTATTATTATTATTTTCGTAATATATTTCACTTGCTACATTATAATATTTTGATCACTTTGCTCATAAATCTTTGTTATCCCATTTTTTTATTAACCATTATGTTCATGTTTTATTGCAATTTTATGCATAAAAGCTGTCTTCGACTTATCTGTTGCCTAAAACAATTATTTTTTGACAAATTATTCCCAAGCAAGACAATTTTTTTTATTTTTTTCCTTTTATTCCTCTTTATTTTTCTATTTTCCACATTTCTTTCATTTTCTTTTCCGAGTAAATATTTGGGTTTTTGTAATAACAATTTTTTTCTTATATTAGTTTTAACTTTTGTTTCATTAATGAATCTATTTTGAATTATAAACTTAATTTCGTATTCTCTACCTTCCTTTTTTTCCTCTCGTGTTTAGAGTAAATTTCTAATTTTTTACATCAATTATTGTGACATTATGTCGTTGCTAGCTTTTATTTCATTTGATAAATTTATCTTAAACTATAAATTTAATTTTATATTGTATAACTCATATATTAGTATTCGTTTATTATACTTTCTAATTTCTTCCCAAAATAGAACATATTGTGTTAAAGTCTAATAATTTGTTTTCAATTTTTTTAATTATATATATAAAAAAAGACAGTTAAGAAAATGACAAACTTAAATACACAATCATTATTAATTGTGAACATGTTTTAGTTCCGTATTAACTTTTCACTTTTTTAATATAGATGATTTTTCTCTTATTTAGATTGACCAAATAAATATAAAGATATCTTTTTGAACCTAAAAAGATAATGGTTAATTGTATGACATATTTTCTACAACAATGATTCAAAGTTTTGACAAATTATTCATAAATAAATATGAGGATATCTTTCCGAATCTAAAAAGATAATGATTCGATTTTTGTATTAACTTTTTGCTTCTCCGACATATAAGATATTTTTTATAGGAGGATAAAAAAAATTTTCTAACTAAAAATATTATAAAATGTTCTCTACTTCTAAACATTAACAACTAATATTTTTTCAACAATTGCAGACTATTGTATCATGTGTCATTACCGATGGTACTCGTTGAAGCAAGCATGTATATGCGGAATATAAATGCCAAAAATTAGTCGAATTAGTTGCGGCAATCTAATTAATAATCATGGATTCCACTATCTCGGACACTATACAACCAATTTTTCTTAAGAAAATAGAGCAAATTAAAATCTTTTGCTTCCGACACAACAAGTCTTCGAACCTCATTTTCCATGTCAACTTTGGCTCAACTCCAAAACAATTAGAACAATCAAAACAAATAACTTTCCTGAAGTGCTACCTATTTATATGTTTTTGTACTAGAAACAAAAATGTCTATGTGTTATAGTTAATAATTGAAACTTTTGTACTTACAAATCAGTCTATTTATGGTTTTTAGTGGACAATTAAAATTTGTTGACTATTTTAAAGTTCAACCTACATATGCTCTTTAGTCCATAGTTAAAATTTCTACACCATGTTAAGCTTCGACATGTAATAATATTCATAATTTTATAACACTAAATAAAAAAATAACAATAAATAAAAAAAGCTCAGATAAGATGAAAAAAAACTATATACAATGAAAAAATTACTATAGTGAAACACGGACACACTGCTAGTTGAAACCATGTAAGGAGATATTTTTGAGGCTTGGCATGGGAAGAGAAAAAAAAAGAATCCGCCTCCAAGTAGGAGGTCCCTAACCCCAAACACACCAGCGCTGATTGCAGAGACCATATTACTTGCCAAACAGACCCCCACGTCACACAGTTTGCATTTTTATCAACTGCATAATTCATAGTTTTTCATTAACAGTAAACAGAGACAGAGAGAGAAGCAAAAACTAAATTCTACTCCATAGCGTTGCATTTTCGAAATTCGAAAGGCCGAAGCTCAGGTTCGTTCTGTCACTTCACTTCACTTTATTCCTTTTCTGCAATTATTCCATTTTTTTTAACTCTCTTTTCTTAGCCTGATCTGATCTGGGTGCAATTTGAAACCATCCATGGATTTTCTTTTTGTACTAATAATGGTGAATTATAAAAACTGACCTTTATGTATTCTGGGATTTTTACCTATCAGTCGATGGGATTTTATTTTGCAAGAAAACCAAATTAGCCGTTTTCACGTTGGTTTAGTCAAAGCTCTATGAAAATTTACATTACTCATTGCGGAAAAAATCTATACAGCATCATCTTCCACGGTGAATTATTCATCCTTGGTGATAAAAGAATTTCCCTTCTTTTAATTTTTCACTGTTATTAGGCTGTTGAGTTAGACAGCTGTTTGTAGATTGATAGGCATACTTGATGCATGTTGGGTTACAAGTAAAGGTGTAATTGGAGATATAGGGTCAGATTATTTGGAAGAGTGGTTCTATTTGATTTTATTTGCATCAAGGGAAACCATCAAACCATGATCATGGAAACTTAAGTACCCTAGGATGACTAATAATAAGATCTGCTTTCTTGGGGAATATGTTGAAAATCAGTTGAGAGAAGAGTTGGAATGAGCAGACCCTATTGATGCAGGGGAAGACTAGAATGCCGATGCTGAAAGGATCAGCACAATGCCAATGGCCATTAGGGCCATTGGATTTGAATATATAACAAAATGGCACCCACTTGATTCGAATTCAGTGGCCTAATTTCCACCAGCATTATATCGATGCTCAAAGCATCAGCATTGTAGCAACCCCCATGGATGCAAGCTAAGACTTGACTCATTTAATTCTTCTATACATTCCAAGTTCCAATCAGTGATGACCTAATAGCTGGCTATCACTATTATGTCCTATGGCTACTCTCTTTTTATCCAATAAGAGTAGCTATGTACTCAGTGTAGCAATCACTGCTTGTATTATATTATAGTTTTAAACTTTCTTATCTCATTCCTTAGATTATTCGGATCAGGTTTTGTTTTGAAAACTTGGTTCATTGTTTTTTTTCTGCTTAACTACTCGATGCATTTCCAGACCTTACTTGTTATTCTATTTATTGAATTTATTTTGGGATAGATCACTGGTATGTTCGGTGAAGTGGAAGTCTGCAGTAATGTCAGAATGGTTGCTGAAAAATTGGACAGAAATGGATCAGTTTCGCAGAGGTCTATTATAACACAACTGTTGAAGGAGTTATTGAGCACAAAGGCTAGCAAGGATCATGGTTACTTTCTTGCAGTAACTAATTTGAAGAGCATAGGCAAAGGGGAAGTGATGAACAAGACGGGCGATGTGTTGTTCTGTGTAGTGTTTAATTGTCGAACCTTCATGCCCATGAAGGGAGAAATTTTGCTGGGAGTTGTTCATCGCACATTTAGACATGGAGTCCTATTGAGATGCGGACCTGTCAAGTATATCTTCCTCTCAGCTCGGAAAATGCCTAATTACCAATATATTTCTGAGCAAAATCCAGCCTTCTTGAATGATGAGCTTGCAAGGATAGAAAATAATGTGGTGGTCCGTTTCTCTGTGCTTGACGTGAGATGGATAGAAAAAATGTGGGATATGAGAAGGGATTTCATGATGCTTGCAAGTTTAGTAGGTGATTCCCTTGGACCTATTTCATCATGTGGATCCGGTGAATTAGACTTATAGATGTTTAGTTCAACATTACTATTCCGCTTGTGCAAAGTGCGGACTGCTGGTCTGTGCTGTGAGCATGAACTTTAACGTGTAATTAATTGTCTTTGAACGTTGTGGAAAACTTATGAACTATTTGACTTGAGTACGTAACGTAGAGGAGCTGCAATTATTAATCTTGCATATTAAAGTTCTGGAATCACTGTGTTAGTTAGTTCTGCAGGCAAACGTAGATATGTTATTTCAAAAGACTTCTCCAAGATTTCCTGAATCTGTATTAAAATTCCATGATGTTTGGCGGTAGAAATTTCGCACTTCCAATCTTAGGGTTTCTATTGATCAAAATGCTACTTTGCGCAAATAGATCATCATGGCTTTTCTGGTTAACCCTCTCGCTTTTCTTTAACAGTTTATCAAGATAAGAATCACGTTTATGTGAAGAGAACGATTTGATTTGTTAAAGCAATAATCTCATCTTTTCTTTGAAAGTTAATAAAAGTAAACTCATTTTTATTTTTTTCAAAATTTAAAATTAGATAAGTTTGGGGCTTAGATAAAATTGGAAGAATACATAGATAGAAAAGAAAAGAAAAGAAAAGAAAAGAAAAAAGCTAAACTGTTTTTTTGGTTACCAAAAATGAAAAGTCCGAAATAAATAAAAAAATCAGAATGAAGTTAGCATGAATGAAAAGTTCGGAATAAAAAAATAAGAATTGGAATGAAAATTAGAAAATTCAAATGGTATTTGCATTCTCACACTATGTTTGAGATACTAATAAAGAATCGGAATAAAATTTAAAACATTTTAATATTTAATTTTTAAAACTAATAAGAATAATAATTTAAAAAATAATTTCATCAATTATGATGATAGTAAAAATAATAAAAGTTATTGTTGGCGGTGGTGGTGGACGTGGAGTTGGAAGATGATGAAGAGGAAGTGGTAGTAATAATAATATAATAATAACAATTATATATTTTTTAAAAATTGGTACTATAACCATAGGAGGTGACGAGAAAAAGAGTGATGGTTACATAATAAAAGGGGTGATAAAGGTGGCAAAGGTGGAGAGGTGATAGAAAAATAATTATAATAATTTCTTTTATAACCACTCGCCAATGAAAATAGTAATGGTGGTTATAGAAATAGTTAATACATAATAATATATCATTATTATTTTTTTAAAAAAATCATTCACATCTATTATGTCTCCGATGCCTAACTAACTTGAGATTAAGGATGGCAATTTGCCTTGTCCTAACGACACCTCGCTCCATCCTTGTAAACGTGAGGATTCCTCGAGTTGACTAGGGAATGGGATAGGACACCCCGCCTTTCATTGACTTTGAACGAGAATAGAGCGGGGATGGTATTTGCCCGCCTCGCCATTGTTGCCTCGCCCCAATCCCATCCTTTCTTTTGAAAATTACAATTATACCCAATATATATATATATATATATATATATATATATATATATATATATATGACTACTAGGGTTTCGGCTTTACAATTACTCACAAACACAATTTACACAATTACACTCCACGTCTTTACCTTCTCTTCGGTCTTCACCTATCTCTTATACTTCGACTCGCTTACCACCATAGACCATCACATCCAACCCATCCATTATAGCCCATTTTGATGCCAACCACCATATCTCTCTACAATGCCAACCACTACAGACCTCCGTCACTTACTAGCCACCATTGATATCCAAGTAGTTAGTTTTTTTTTTTTTTTTTCTAATTAGTTTTTTGATTTAACTCTCTTGCAAATCTAATTTGCTTTTAGATTTGTAAGAGTTAATTTTAGATGGAGAAGCTTTCTTTTATTATAATTTCGCCATTTGCTCGTGTTTCTTCTACTCTAGTTTCACCAATTTCAATTGATTTTTCTACTTTTCTAATTTTCAAATGCAAATAATGTCATTTTCTATAAAGGGAATGGATAGTTGATAATGTTCTATAATCATTTAAAGTTTGTCTAACATGATTGTTGCCACTCATTTTAAGGATTGTCTTTACCATTATTAGATTTTATAAATTTCTTCCCATCTTACTATATTGCATTACTCATTTCTTGGCAGTTGTTACCAAATTGCCAACTTTCATTATAAAATTAACACTCGAAGGTTTACATGCCTATGAGTTCGAAATCTTTTATTTTTTTTCAATCGAGGACACATAATAAATTACAAATGGGTTCCATGCAATTGAGATTGACTTATAGCTCCCTCTTTTTTTCATTTCTCTTTGTTATGAAGATATTCGGTGTCTTCACAACTTAACAAAATTTTTCCAAAATGACCTAACTTGGAAAATTTTCCTTGATCTTTTGATAGTTCCAAGTGTTTGCTGCTATAGTTTGCTTTGTGTTGTGTTGCACACATAACCTTGATGCTTTCTTTGTTTTTATTTCACATAATGATTATAAATGTGTTTTTTTTTTTTTTTTTTTTGATAAAGTTGTCTTTTTCTTTTGAATGGATTTTTGCTCTTTGTACATGCATGATACCTCTGAGAGTCAAATGGAGTAGTCCAAAAGAGCATTTTTCTATTCCATGACATGGATTAGTTCCTTAGTTTTTCTTGATTTAAGACTACTGTAAATATAAAGAAAGGAGAAAGAACTCCATTTTAATTCTATTAGTTGGCTTCTTGAAATTTAGTGTTCTTCAATGTGTGTGTGTGTGTGTGTATAAAGTTAAATAGACTTGAGATTGTATTTACGTGAAGCGAGATAATTCCCTAGTGTGTACGGTTTCCTTTATCCAAATAGAAATCATGAAAAAAATTATTCCTAGTTCTATCCTTTATATCTAACTTTGTTTTTATTGATTTCTATTGTATATTTTCAGAAAATGACAAGCCATGGAGATGGAGGTAGCTCCTATCAATCTACGGACTCTACACCAATATATTTGAATTCCACTCCATCTACTCTAGTTATTGAATCAATTTCATCTCCACAACCTACTTTGGGTGAACTTTAAAGTGATTCGATCTTCTTCATAAAAAGCAATATAGTTTTGTGAGGAATAATTTCACAAGGAAAAGTGCGAAGGGTGAAGAAAAGGCGGAATGCAATTATTGCAAAAGGCAACTTGGAGATAAGTCAAAGAATGATACTAAACATTTGCATGATCACTTCAAAAGATGTCCAATAAGGAAAATTACATATATAAGACATAAGGTTTTGACTTCTAACTTAATAGGTGATGTAATGGCTCATACTTTTGATCAAGAGATGAGAAGAAATGAGCTTGTTTCTATGATCATAATGCATGAATACCTACTCTCTATGGTTGACGATACCAACTTCGGGAAGTTTACAATTACTCTCCAACCATTCGGGTGTCCAAGTAGAAATATAGTCAAAAGTAATGCCTTTAAGATATATGACAATGAGAGAGTAAAAATGATGAGAGCTTTCGAAAAACTTGAAAGCAGAATCGCCATCACTATTGATTTATGGACAACTAGCAACAAAAAAAAAAGGATTCATGGCTATTACGACTCATTATATTGATAGTTCTTGGACATTACGAAGTTGCCTATTGAGGTAATCTACATTTCTTGTTAACTTAATGATGCTTGTTTAATTGCTTTAGTTCAATATTTTTAGTTTGTAACTAATTTATATCTTGCTTTAGGTTTATGTATGTTCCTTGTTCACGTACCGGCATTTTCCTTACAATTGCTTTAACTAATTTTTTAATGGATTAAAACGTTGAAGGAAAATTATACATATTACATTCGATAATTATTCCATCAATGATTTTATGATTGAGTATGTGAGGGATAAGTTAAAATCTATAGAGTTATTGAATTATGGTTCTTTATTACATATGCGATGTTGTGCTCATATCATTAACTTAATAGTGAAATATGGGTTGGATGTCATTAAGGAAGGGATTGAGCGAATTAGAGGTGATATAACATTTTGTATAGCAACTCTTAAAAGAGTTGAAAAGTTTGAGAATGTTGCTAACTTCCTTCTCATTCCTATCACAAAGAAATTGGCTTTAGATTGTCCAACTAGATGGAATTCTACTTATTTGATGCTTAAAATTGCTTTGTTATATAAGGATTGTTTTTCTAGGTTGAAACGTCATGAACATCATTATAAAGTTGCACCTACCGATAGAGATTGAAGATCTTTTATAGTATTTACTAAATTATTTTCAAGAACTTAATATCCCATGGCTAATTGTTTTTTTTTTTTTACTAAAATTTATGAAATTAAGGTTGTATTGACTCAATGGCTCACTTATTCTAATCAAATGGGTAATGAAATGATAGAAATTATGTTAGACAAGTTCAATAAGTATTGGAGTGTGATTCATGAAATAATAGAAGTAGCTGTAGTTTTAGATCCTAGGTACTAAATGGATTCATTTGAGTTCTATTTTGAGAAAGTTTATGGAAGTGTGGTTGTGGTACGGGTTGAGAATGTAAGGAAGCTTTGTTATGGCTGAGTACCAAAAAAATATAAATATGGATAGAGGATGTGGTAGCTCTATTGTGGCTAATCCTTCAACAATTATTAAGGATATGGAATCTAAGTTTGACTTATATGTTTTAAGGAAGAAGGCCAAGGTTGCCTTTTTCAAGACAGAGCTAGACCACTACTTAGATAAGGGTGTTATTTCAAGAACCAAGGATTTTGATATTCTAGTATGGTGAAAAGTAAATGGGGTGAAGTATCCTACTTTGATGACAATTGTTGAGGATGTGTTGGTAATCCCTATTTTAACCATCGCTTTATAATCAACTTTTAATGTTGGTGGTAAGCTAGTAAGTCCACATCGAAGTAGATTTCATCCAAAGACGGTGAAAGCATTAATGTGTGCTCAAAACCAAAATGATGGAACATCCATCAATACTATACATCAAAGAATAACTCAAAATAATGAATTATTCTTTAAAAAAGAATACAAGGTGATCAACAAAACAAAATTGATCAGAATGCTCAAATCAATAACCTCGATTAGACTCTATGATCTCTCAAATAATTCTAATCCATTGCTTAACTAAATCCTATCGTTACCAATTCTTAATGAAATCATGAATTTCCAATTCAAACCTTTAATAAATCAATCCGTAATTAGATAATCAATTCTATCATAATTCACCCAATAATTATTTCATTTATATTTAATTATACTTTTATGATTTAATTCCTTATTTTTCTTAATTTTTAGATTTTCCACTATTCATCATCTTCAACCTCTTTATTTCTCAAATTCACTCAATTCTACTTTAAATTAACTTTTTAGTGAGACTAAGATATGTTTTGAATTATGGTATTTAATTAGACCAATGGACTGGTTTGATAAAGACATATAAAATGGGTTTAATGAAATTCAAGTCCAAGGTTATTGGACATTAATTTGTCAAAATAATCAAGCCATATTTTTCTCTCTCCTTAGGTTAGGAAATTAGTTTTCTAGTAGGACTAGAGCTCACACATGTTGTATCTATAGAACTTAATTAATATGTGGTTCGTCATTGCATATTTGTTTTCTATCACTGCAAAAGCTAAGATAAGGACCTAATTTGGGTTTAGATTGAAAGCATAAATTTAAAATTGAGTCACACATAAGGCAATGTCGGGGTTCCAGGTGTAAATGATTTTAAAACACTTGACGAGCTTTTGAGAGGTGCTAGGGAAGACTCGTTGCATATAAACAATATGCATAATACCTATATGAAACAATTGAAACATATGACGATTCAACCATTACTTTGAAGTATTTTAGTTGAGTGTGATAGAAAGTTTAGCTCATAACGAGAACTTATACATGATTGAGTTGAGTTGTATGGAAGAACTACAAATACCTATGACTAGGTTGAGACAATTGAGACACTTGTCCGAGGTAGGAGAATTTGAAGTAGTTAAGTCTTGGAAAATTTTCTAAAAGACGTTATGGATAGTACTAAACAACCATCTATATTTTCTATAAATTTGATTGGTGCGAGTGGTTTCTTCTTGTTGTTGTTTCTTACTCCGGATATATTCATACTTGAGAAAGAAAAAAACACGATCGAGGTTATTGCGGTATGATGATCCATCTCTACTCTTTCAAACTTTATTTTTACTCGGTGCTTTCTTTCAATTGATTAAAATAATATTACGTAAAATATGGTTACCCATTTATCAAAAAATTAAATAATTATTTTATTATTTTTTGTATGATAATTAATCTATTAGAATTCTTATTAACTTTTTTTATAATAAATTTAACTATTTTTGAATGATATTAAATTAGTATAAATGTTATTACTTAGTAGTATGCTTAATTAGTAAAACTATTAAAAATATATGAATTAGAATAACTTTAGTAATGACTTGCTAATGTATTCATGAAATCTTTTATCACAATCGTTGTTTTATTATCACAATAAGCCACGATCCGTGATTGTGATCACAACTTTTTTTTCAACTAGCATTGCTATTTAAAACTATGCTTGTTTACCAATTCTTTTAGCTTTTATATTGTTTTGAACTCATGGATTGCGATGGGAAGTTGAGAACTGAAACTCAGTTGTTGGCGGTTCACAGGTGGTCTACGATGTTCTATGCTTTTGTGAAGTTTAAAATGTAGCCTCAGCTGTATTTGCTTAGTTGCCTTCAATTTACTTCTCTCGCATATTTTCAGAGTTCACTCCAGTCACAGCTAGATTAGGCAAAATTTAGTCCAGGTGTCTCGCAAGGCTGTGGTCTAGCTCTTGCTGCCTCATTTAAACCATCGGGGTAGCAACTGCACATTCAAAATGTCACTGCGTTGCAGCGCAGCTCTCATGTTACAATGCGAAGTTGAATTTCTAATATGAACCACAAATATGGAATCATGCTCCAGCAGAACGCTATCTTGCTGTAATATGCAACTTCTCTAATTGATTATCCTTCCTTTTAAGTTCTTTTGTTGAATATTCATTTTTAGTATTGGCCGCCTGGCTTATTGACTTCACATGTTAGAAACTCAGTAAAATTTGGCAATAAACCTTCAAGGTTAATCTATTTTCCACAATAACAAGTCATCGAAAAGATAAGAGTAAGAAATTTTATATTATTCATTAATTTACCACCCGTACTTGCTCTATAAAAGAAAGATAGACACGACGAAAAAAGAAATTTAAGAATAAAAATTTTGGTGAGTGTGAAAATATTTTTACTATTTTTAGTATATTCAGATCATTCAGATGTATTTTTTTTTTTAATATCTCTCTTTAAAAATAAATTCATAAATTAACTATCATGGATGTGATTTTTTTCTTTTTGTTTGTATCTATTTCTTTCTTTAAAAATAGATACATGTAATAATTATTATTACAATATTTAATCTAGATGTGTTTTAAAATTTTTCAAAATATGGAACAAGAGTGCCTGGGACATGGTCAAAATCAAACGACTTGAGGTTGGTGTATCATGTACGTATTTATGAATCTCTCTCTCTTTGCCCATTTCATAGCCTCATTATTACATGAAATACAGAAACCGCAAACTCTTCCCTCCAGTGAACACGGCACAAGCATCCCCATCTGATACCTTGAAGAATAAAAATTAATCAGGGTACTTCAGAATTTATGTTTATCCAATTTGTCAGGGGCTAACCCCAGATCCTGTTTCAGAAAGAAGGGCTGTCCTTCTGCTCATCATGAGAGCTCCACATCGTTTTTCTACATCGGTGTCAAAATTCTGGCGGACCCTGTTGCTATCAATCAAACAATGGAGCACCCATCAAATCTACAAGGAGGGAAATTCATGGGGAGACGATTTTGTGAAAAAGAGCTGGGTAAAGGGTGGCTACATATAAATTCTAAATAGTATCATCATTATAACGAATCAGCAGACTGCAAATCATCTATAACATCCATTTGGTAAATTTGGAGCATACAGTAGTATATCAGAGAAGAAAAGGCAATTCGTCATGAAGAAGATAATGATCTTCCTACAGACGAATCAAATAATGATCCATCTGGATTATTCCAAAAAAATCCTCTCAACAGCTCCAATTTCATAAATACAGCTCATGGTCTAGTATTTGTAAAACCACCATAGAAATTATTGATATCTAACAAGTAAGAAATAAAGCAAGTGCACCTTTGCATTCAACAAGATTACAGTGGCACTTGAAAAATATTATTCCTTTCATCAGTTATAATCCAAACATAATCCTACAACCTAATCACCGGAAGGAAAGATTAAAAAATAAAAAACATGGCAAAATAGATAGATGATGAAAAATTGAATAAAGAGTTCATATTATATCATTGTTCCATGCATTTCTGCAATCTAATAAAGTGCCCTCTCCAACAGCTAAATGGAATATAAAAGCAAACTTTATTTTCAAGTGTTTATTTAAAGCAGGAGTTGCAACTAAGTGATCACAGAAAACACTAGGCTGACAGTTTTTGCTAGAAAGAAAAAAGTATAACAACATTAGGACATGCTTAGAAGAGGATCAAACACACACACACATAAGCAGCCCCTCTCTAAGACACTATCTATCTCCCCTTTTTGTCAACAATAGTTCAAAGAATGAAACATGATCCATGTAAGAGGGAATCGGGAATAACACCCTGGGTTCAAAATAAACAAACACAGATTGCATTGCTTTTCTCAAAACCTTATTCTACTCCAAGTGAAATCTAATCATTTTCAACAAAATATTCAAGAAGTTTGCAACCTCTAAATGAAGGGAAAAAAAAAAAGAAAAAGAAAAGAAGCAAAGGAATCAAGCAGCAACAGAAGCTTTCTTCTTCCCTTTCTTCTTTTCATGTGATTTACCATCTCCCTTTATCATCCTTGAGAGTATATCAGCCTGCTTTGTGTTTCCCTCCTGGTTAAGACTCTTAATCAAATCCTCATAGTTGCTCCAACTAGTGACTCCTCCTTTCTCCATGATTTTACACAAAATTGAATATGCATTGAGAGTCTTCCCTGCCGCTAAGAGAGCATCCAGCACTTTATCATAGCTTTTAAAGTCTATGCTATAGTCCCTCTGCAATCCGAAATCTAACAACTTAAGAGCAGCAATGGTCTTGCCTTTCTCAGAAAGAATGGATAGAAGACTATCAAAATTGACACTACACTCACTACTCATGAGGAGATCAATGCGTCCAAGGGCTTCCTCTTCATGACCTCTCATGAGAAGAGCTTCCAAAATCTTTGCAACCAAGTCCAAGTTCTCTGTAATCCCCTTCTCCACCATACTTTTCATCACACGACTTGCAGTTTGAACCCTACCATCTTCATACAAACTCTCCATCACTGACCTGAATACAGATGAATCTGGAAGGTGCCCATCTTCAATCATACTATCCAAAGCTGTTTTAGCATCGGCTGGCTCACCTTTCCTCAAGTAGCTCTTGATCAGCAACTTGTAAGCCTCAGCATCTCGAGGGATTCCTTTCCTACCCATGATCTTTAAAATTTCAAAAGCAGAATCAGGGGTTCCTTCTTTTGCATGCCCACAGATCAAATTATTAAAGGCGAGAGGATCCTCAGCACCCTTTTTCAACAGCTGCCGGAAGAAGACTTCTGCTTTTCCAGTCTGCCCATGGCTGCACAAATACTGAATCACTGGGTTATAAGCACCGGATTCCATTTCCAAAGTACTCTGTGGCCTTAAAATAATATCCTTCTCAATAAGCTTATCCACAAAATTCACTGCCCGATTGTACTCCTCAGCCTTGCAGAAATTCTCTATCAAGACACCATAATGTCCAGCCTCTGTAGGAATGCTCAACTTAATCATTGCATCAAGCACATCTACAGCTGCTTTCAAATCCCCAGCCTTACACTGAGTGTTCAACAACTTCAGGAAGATTGAATGATCCTTGGGTGCAATGCGCCTCTTCACCATTTCCTTCACGATATCCTTAGCTTCAGTCATTTTCCCAGCATCACAAAGCCCTGGCAACAAAGTCGTATAAGTCACATTATTAGGCTTAATACCAAGTGACTTCATCTCCTCAAGCAACCTCAACCCATCATCAATTCTATCCACTGCAACATACCCTTTAATCATAGTTGTATAACTTATCACCGTAGGTGCAATATCGTTTGCCTTCATCTCCAGAAACAACTTTTCAGCCTCCTCCATCCTCTTAAACCTATAATACCCATTAATCATTGTATTATAAGTAACGGCATCTGGAGATATCCCTCTAACCTTCATATCTTCATAAAACCTGACTGCAGTTCGCAACCTCAATGACAGAAAGAATCCCCAAATCAACAAATTATAAGTATGCCTAGTCGGCTCAATCCCTTCATCTAACATCTTATTAAAAAACCTTTTGGCCATCATATACCTCCCTTTCCTCATAATAACCTTAAACAAAACATCATAACTCTTAACACTCCTCTCCACACCCAATTCTTTCATTTTCGAAAATATCTTAACAGACTCTTGAACTATCCCAGCATTACCATAACTATCAATTAACAAAACAAACATATCCTCATCTAATTCAAAACCCTTTTTAGGCATATCTTCTAATACAATGCAGCGGGCGTGATTAAGCATAGAATACCTACCCAGTATCTGAATAATCTTCATGTGGGTTTCGCGGTCGTGTTGAATTAAACCCGCCCGTTCAACCCACCTGAAGAATTGGAGCGCGTGATCGGGCTTTCGAGCTCCGTGCAAAACATTATAAACTAAAGAATGATCAAATTCTGGCACAAGAGCCCGAATCGAATTCTGCAATCGGGTCGTCCAGTCCCGATTAGCCATCATTCTACAAATTATATCCTCTAGTTTTTCAGGGCTTCGATGCTGCTGCTTACCTCTTGGGATTCGCTGGTATTGTTTCTCTTTTGCAACATTTGGGGTTTGGGGTTCAGGGTCGGGTTTCGGGTTTGGAGATGCGGTTGGTTCTGGGTTCGGGGAGATAGGATCCTCAGTTGGAGTTGAAGTGCAGAAATGGAGGGACGGTGTGAGTGAGACTTGACAAACCCTAGGTTTTAACTGAAATGGTTTAGAAAAAGCGATATAGTAACCCATTTTTCCAGTGGAAAATGGTGAAATGCAGGAAGAGGTTTAAACTACTACTTTATGTTCTTTCCTTGGTACTGTAAGAGATGGGAAGAGAGGGAGAAGGGTGACAGTGTTGCTAGTTGCAACACTAGGGTTTAAGGGAGGCACAATCATGGTTCATGGCTTCATTCAAATTACTCCCTCTAGTTTTGGTGATTTCATTACCAACTTACTAAATGTTTTTTTATTAATCTCCTCATATTTTAAATTTATTTCAAGTATATCCTTCTATTAAAACCTATTAATTTTTGTTGGTGGTAAAGAAACGTAGTCGATGGCTCTAAAATGAATGACTATGAAATTTGACGTGGGTGATAAATGGATTTGTTCTATGGATGTCTCCTAGCAAATTTCTTATAAACCACATTACTTCAAGCACTTGACTTTTCTATTATAACTTTAAAAGAATTCATAAGATGATAAAATGAACTTGAAAAAAGATGATGCTTTATTGTTTCGATAAAATAATAATAATAATAATAATAATAATTACGTATAAGTATGTAGTTAAAAAATATCAAAGAGGTCTCTATATTTGAATTTGATGATACCGTCAATCTCTCTTATCTATAATTTATTTTGATTTATCGTTAATTTTTATTTTTTGATAATTTTAGAATACGTATCAATCATTAATTGATTAATAATTTAATCATTGATTTTTGAACACACACTAGAAGATTATGTTTGACATGATTTATGAAAAATAATTTTTTTTAATTTTGTGTTACGATTTAAAAATTGTGTTTTATAAATATTTTGAAATAAAAATGAGTTGAGTTAGAAGTATGGTTAGTGAAAATTGATTAAAAAACAAATTTTGTTGACGAAAGGGAAACGAAATATTATTGGTTAGAATTTATTAGTCAAAAGTTAAGAAAAAAATAATTTTTAATTATAAAAAATTGATCAAATTTGTGTAAACTTTTTATTTTAGTTAAAAATCATTTCTAATCAAACATATTTAGGATTTTTCTTTGATAAAAAATATAAATTATTTTTTCAAAATCATACCTAATAGAACCTAAGTAAATTAATTTTATTTTTCTCTCCGTACAATTCCAACCATTTAGAAAAATGGATGTTAATGGAGGTGCTAAATGAAATTAATCTGAAGCGTCATCTCAGGAGTGATTTGAAAATGAAATTAGTGTTGGGAGTCAATTGATAAAACACTAGAAGCGAAGAAATTAAAAATTAGGCCAAAGAAGTTTTGTTCGTAGACGTGGCATGCAGCAACTGGATACGAGCCATCTCGACAAGCTTTGAAGACCTGAAGGGACTGTGTAGGAGTGGGCGTCTCAACAAAGGGACGAGTTCAGGAAAGGTTCTCCATTTTAACTCGGTTTCTTCTATTTGGTTGTCGAAATGGAAGAATGCAAGTTCTGTTTTATATTTGTTCGTTATTAATCATTCTGTAAAACACAAAAAGCATCTTTTAGGCTTTTGGGTTTAATGTGATATATGAAAAAAACAATGGAATTTTTTGGATTTAGCAAGACTTCAAGAGCAGCAAACAGGAAATGTGTGTTTGTGGCTGTTCATTAGGTTTCGAATTGGGAAAACTAATTGATTTTAAAGTTGGATTCTTCAAAGACTTACATATGCATGTTGGGGTTTTAGGTTTGAATGTACTTGTTAGGTTCTGTAGGGTGCATCATGGACAAAGATAAACTAGATATTCAAGCATATCCATTGCATGCATTTGATTTTATATAGGCCTTCTTTTTTTACCAAAGAAAAGACCTTCTCAGTAAAATTGTGGAACTGAGCCGGAACTAGATTGTAGTTGATTAGTGCATTATTCACGGGTGGGAATGGAGAAGAAATGATTCTGAAAGTTTAACTGCCTTGGAATGTTATAATCCCTGCCCTAAACCTGGATGCGAAAGGACTAATGCTCCTAAGGTCAATTGTTTTCAGCCTTTTACATGACTTTGCCAGGAAAACGGGTCACTTGCTTCCATAACTTTAGAGAGCATAGGGGAGGGAAAAGCCAGGCAGCACACAGTGGATGTGCTATTTTCAGTCGTATCATTTTCAAGATTTTCAGTGGGAGATCCCTTCAAAGATGTGGGCTGATTGAGAATATCTCTCTTTTTATGAAGTTGCCTGATTACCGCCACATTCCTGGTGAGAATCCAGTTTTCTTGAATGAAAAAATCATTGATTGAGAAAGATGTTTGGTTGGATCTGTTGTGCTTGGAACAAAGTGGCTAGAGGCAGAAGGGGAATTCCAGGCGTTGGTTAGTTTGGAGGGTGATTGTGTTGGACCAGTGTCTTAAAAGTTTCCTTGTAGGCTGGAGATACTAACATATTTGTAGAATTCTTTTGCCTGCTGCTGGTTTCCAGAGCTATTGGTAGATCACCTGTATTCCACAGCTTGTGGTTTTCCTGCTATTTGCAGATTTTGTAACATGTTAGTAGTATTTAGAATGAGATGTAAATTTCATCTTTAGAGTCCTTATGTTGCTATTTGGTTAGCTGTTACATGTTTTCGTAGAGTTGTTTGCTCGATGCTAATGGAAATCTTAACACCATTTGTCCCCAAATGTTCCATGTCATCGTATGCTCTTTTTAACTTATTAACGTATGCTCTTGTTAACTAAATAAGCTTTCTCGACTGGCTTGGGTTACTTTATAAATCTTGTGATGCATTTTTCTGATAAAATCACTTCACTAGTGTTGGCTTTTCTGTAAAATGGAAAGTGGCCCTTTTTGATCAATGAGTTATATTTCTGAGCAAGTCTGTGTCATGGCCTTGTATAAAGCTGTTTTCTTGCTCTTGCTGCTGTCTATTTTACCTGTTGCGAAGCACTTCTGTGCATTCAATAGGGTGAACTGCGCTGTTGCAGCATGCCTTAATGCTGCAATGCAAGGCAGAGTTTAAACTCTTAGATATGGGAGATACTAATATATGGAGTAATGGAGAGGCACTTTTGGTTGCAAGATGCTGAGGATCTATGGCACGTAGGGAGGCATGAAATCAAGTTCCTCCCAATAGCTTTTATAGGAGGAGATAACTGATGCTGATTCTACTTCTCAATAAAATTCTGAAAAAAAGGGTTCCAAAACATGCCACTGACAATTTTTGAAATTAGCCATTCATATTCAGTACTATAGCATTTCCTTAATTTCAACATGTTCTCTGCTTGAGTTGAGTTTGAACCATTGGTTACATTAAAACGGATCTATTAGGGATGAAATACACTTCTAATTTAAAAGAGCAGATAATAAACTTAAGATCAGGAAGATATCACATGAATCCTGTTTTTATTTTCTAACTTTCTCTGTAGCTCTGTTTCATTCCTACCTAGTGCTTCCAATTCTGACCACATGGGAAACTTGGCATTCTGGTCTTTCCCATGTTCTCCTAGGTTTAGAAACCCTTTAATCTATTGAAGGCGCGGTTATTCTTTTTATCATATGCAAAAATAGTAGGGGAAAAACAAGCAGGCCAGTACACAAGTGGCAATAGCGAGGACTGAAGAATGTAAGTGCCTGTGACAAATGCGACCATCATAGCCCCCTGGCCAAGAAAGTGAGAGCAGCTGCTAAAGCAGTATTTCAGAAAACTTGTGTGGGATCTTCCATCATTTTCAAGGAAAGATGCAAAACTACAGCAGAACTTGAGAGAACCATGGCTATGGTGTCCGCTATAACAAATGCCTGGAAAGCTGCCTTTCTTGTTAGGATTGCAGAACCTGGGTTCGGGCCTTTGTTGCCTCTGTAACCGCCAGGCAATGTGAAAGCTGCAGAAAAAGCTACAGTTGATCTGAGCGTGGCTACCATCAAATAGTATCTCTTACTTTATGAATATCTGTCAATTCTTCACTTTCATGATTTACTTTCTTCTCATCATCCTTCTTGCTGTTATGTCCTTCATCTATTTCTTTTCCACGCCTATAATTGTGGTTGGCGTTGCTGGTTTCCTCTTCCTCCTCACTATGTTCATCCAGGTTGATAACCTTTTGCAAACTTGATCTAGGACTGGCCTTTTTAAATTGTTGAAGAATCCTTATCTGCAGGACAGCATATATTCTAACTTTAAGAGCAGCTAAAGAAATTGAAAAACAATTCTAGTTCCGTACTCTTGATTATTTTAAATTTCTAGTAATCTGCCCTCGGTAAGTTATGCGGGCTTTACCTCGGCATTTAGTAAATTATGACCGCTTGCTCTAACAATATCCTGGACATTCAGATTTTCCTTGTTGATTGCCCTTTTATCCACCCTACTGTTCTCTAACAAAGGGGAAGCCACCCTCCTCTGTCTGCTTCTTTGGTCAAATCTTGTTGTTTCTCTAGAATCATCCCTGTCATTTCTAGAGTAAAATTTAAAAAGAAACCGATAAATGGATAATAAATAATTGGAAAAAGAGAATTAGGAATGTTATATACCTGCACTTCTGAAAGTTGCTTATGGATTCAATTACCCTTGCATCCATACAAAATTGGAAACGCATGAACACCTATTCCAAATACTCTTTGATTTTCTTTCTTTTTTTCATCATTTCGGAGCAAAAACATATGATAACCAATGTACTTTTTTTTGTTTTTTGTTTTTTTATTTTTTTTTTTTAAGTTTAGCAGTAAGGGTGTTTGCGATCTGTAAGGATGTTTGCGTATTTCAAGACTAATCCCTTTATGGACGTAGGTAAAAGACACTCCTCCTAATACATGATCTGGGATATTTTGAGAATAAATTCTCAAGAGTGCTAGTCACAAGGACCAGACCATGCGAGTCAACTCTGCAGGCTACTACTTTGTGGTTGGTATCTAATGTACTTTTCTATTAAACGAGTGTCACAATATCGGCTTGATTATATAACAACTTTTATGGATCTATTCCATAAAATTATGCATATTAATTGACAAAAAACAATGGAAAAGTACTCCTCCATCATGGTAATATACTGCTGCATGCAAAGCTGTTCTGCCACCAGGGCCCTGATAAGTGGCTGCTGTGGAAGTTCCTAATTATTTGAGCCAAGTTTCGGAATTCCCTCTCTACAACCATGTAGAGTGGAGTCTCACCAGCATCATTTGCAGCATATGCAAAATCAGGGTCATCTTCTGTCAATTTTCTCACCACTGCAATATGATTATGCCGCACTGCCTCGTGCAAGGCTGTGCCATTCTGCTTGTTAGTCATCCGTAGCATCTGTCTCGCTGCACCATTTCCCTTTTCAATGTCTTCATGATTAGCTTTTGCCCTTTCAATAAGGAATTCTACTACTGCTTGGTGCCCATATCTTGCTGCAATGTGCAAAGCAGTTTCGTCGTTGGCATTTGTCTGCAAGAACAGGGATGGACACTTTTGAAGAATAGCTTGAGAAAGTGAGATGACTTTGTTTTGGCAGATGGGAGAGGGACGTTGCTATCTTCTCGCGGCAGCTTTTGTAGTGCCGGAGTAAACTTTACTGATCTTGGAGATGTCATTGGTTGGTTCATATATCTTCTCAGATAGGGCTGTGATGTAAATATGGAGAACTGTGTTTCTGTTTGATGTAACTAGGCATTTGAGTTGATTCGAATATTGCAGAAAGGTTTCAGTTTCACCCTCTGCAGCCGCCTTATATAGTTCAGAGTTGATGCATGTAAAAACATGAGTTCGGCCTGCTATGCCTTGTTTCACCAGGAATGGAGAGGTGCTTGAAGGTGAGAATTATGTGATCTTGCTTCGACTTCCAAAAAAAAGTGGGGTTAAAATGACAAGAAATTGAAAGAAAGAATGATATGAAATTAGAAAGGTGATCTATCAGACGTGGTTGAAAGCAATGGCTGTTCTGAAGGAGAAATTGACTTACTTGAAGTTCACATGATGGCAAAAAGATGGTGAGCGAAGAGGGAGATTGAAGTTTTGGTTTACGATCAGATGATGATACCTGGTGAAGATCACGTCAAGGGTTTAATGACTACATTCTGCGCTGCTCCACTTGATTAAGAATTTCATTGTTTTAGCGCTGAAAGAAACAACAAAGTGCTCTTTAAAGCAGTTTTTTCTTTTCTCATCATAACCTTTGTCTTATCCTTCGCTTGCTATAGTATATTGGGATAATTACTATAAGTATACTGTACCATTTCCAGTGGGGTTAGACCATTGTCAATCATGACCTACTGTGTGTCCTCTTCAAGCGGAAGACGAAGGAACTGGAAAGTGATAGAGCAACCATCATTGTTCTTGGGCCAACTTTTGACGTGATACAAATACAAAAGGCCCCTGTTTGATCTCATTAATTTCTGGTCACGGGATTTATCAGATGCTGAAAACTGGACCAATTAGTGGATAAATTAAACACAAAAAATTTAGAGAATTAGTGGATAAATTGAATACGAATACATCTTGACATTTGACAAGTCCTAAGCTTCTTTTGTTTGCTGAAAAGTAAATTTCTCACGGAAAGTGTATTTTAAAGAAAATAATTTCTGAAATAATATATTACTTTTCCATGTTTATCTGTATATATATATATAAAAAAAAAAAATTGGAAACCAATTTTTAGCGTTTCGCTGTATCGTAAAAAATAAATTAAAAAAAATAATACATTTGGGTTATTGTTTTAAATAGTAAAATTTTTATTACTATCATTTTTTTTTGTTTTTGATGAAAATTGAAAATAAATTTTTTTCTATATAATCTTATTTTTATAATATAATTTATATGATTTGAGATGTATGATTATTGTATAATATAACATGTTATGTATAACAATATATTTTTTAGCAATATTATCTAAATTAAAGCATTATATGCACTAATATATTAAATTCATATAATTTTATATATTATATAGGATATATCCTAATGTATTATTTTTTATATAAATATATTAGTAATTTATTTTTTCTAATCATATTATATATTTTAAAGTATTTTTTTAATACATTAATGTTTGAATAACAAAGTATTGTATTATTTTAGTTTTTGAGTCTTTTATGAAAGTGTTTTTCGCTTTTTTAAACTAGATAACACTTTTCTTCTTCTAAAGCTTAATTCTTTTTTTGTTTTTTACTATAAAGTAAATTTTGTTGACCAGTTTCTCACAATGTAGCCTAGTATAAAAAAATTAGGAAAGTGCTTCTCATAACGACACCTTAATCTCATTTGCCACGAGATCGCGTTAATCGAGATAGCTATCAAATACAATAATGGGTAAATTTTAATTTGCCCCTCTAAGTTTATGACATGTCTCAATTTTAACTCAAAGTTTGCTTCTTCTTTTTTTAGACCCATCAACTTTCATCATAGTTTCAAAGCTTATTATATTAAAAAATCATGAATTTTATACGTTTTAATTATATAATACGTTCTTTCAATGTTAGATAGAAAATACATAAACTAAACTTCTTATAATCATATTAGCACGTGTGAATATTTTCGATCAAAATTTCATTTTCAGCTGATGTGGCATGAAAGATAGAGTGACAACAAGATATAAATGCATGTAGGATCCCACGTGTTTAATTGACAAATATCCTCCCCAATATAGATTACATGCCAATCAATTCTATTCTCCTTTTGATTTGAAATAATAAAACTCTCAAGCCTAAAACCAATTGAATTCTTAAAAATCCCTAAACCTTTTGATTACAAAACCCATATCTAATCTTCATCAATCCCTAAACAAGACACTTTAAATCTTATTTAAAGATGTTGGTTTTTTTCATTTGACATCTATGTCACCCTTCCTCCCTACTAACTAAATTAAAATGTTTAAATATTACAAGGACAACACCACGAATCTTCAACCTCCAACAACAATTAGCAGTTTAACCCACTAGAAAATGGGCAATAGATGGGTCATAATAAATACAAACAGAAACCATGGTTCATGCTTTTTTCACCCCAAAATTATAGATCATAATACCATAAACTAAATAAAGTGTAAATTAATTCAAAATAACCCATTAAGCATTATGTTCATCAATCAAAATATATTGCAAATTTAATGAAAAAATCAAATATCTATTTCAATGCAATCTTTCAGTAATCTTTCATCAAGCAAACCCCAAGCAATCTACATTTTTCATAACCATTTCAATTCTCTAAAATATGTTATAAGCATGTCATTTCTCTCTCTACTTATTGCCAATCAAAATTCAATTTTTTTATAGCAAAATTATATTTGTTAAAAGAGAACATATGTATATATTTGAATAACACGCATTAATCAAATTAATAATTAACAATTAACAACACTAGGCGATGGAAAAAATCAAAGTCATAATAGTCCTTATGGTTTTTTTGAAAAAAAATTAATTTAAAAACAAAGATACCATTGTTATGAACTAAAAAATCAACAAAATAAAAAATATTCATATAAGTTTAGATTTTAGTTTTAAATTCAAACACAAATTAATTACATGATTATATAAAATTATTAACTTAGTTGCCATTGTTGTGAACTAAAAAAAATAAAATAAAGAGGAACTATTATAGAACTATAGATAAAAAGGCTATGGTGATGGGCAAGAAAGAACAAGCTGAAACTGAGTTTTTTTTTTTTTTTTTAATAACAATAAAAATGGCTAATTGATTAAAAAATATCCCGACTTGTTGGTCAATTAGAGATTAGTCTCTTCTTTTTTTTATTAAGGTCATAAATCTATTTTTTGGTTAATAATGTCATTCTTTAGTCAAAATTGATTTGAAAAGAAAATTTTGAAATTAAATAATCAAACTATATCTTCTCTTTCTTTGCTTCAAATCTTGTCCAAATCTATTACTTTCCTCACCTTGCTTCAACACCTTAAGTAGCTTGTTGAAAGAATTATACTTGTTGACCATCATTTTCTCATTCTACACCTCATTTCCTCTTCTTTCAAGTCTATCAACACTCATGTCCATCATTCAACTTGTTTTCTATACAAACTCATTCTTTTGTAGTATCATTAAAAACCCCAAAACTATTATTTGTAAAATCAAGTATTGTAACACATCCAACCTAAGACTTAATAAGTCGAGAATATTACTATCGTTAACCGACATTCTAAGTACAATGAATACAAGCTAACAATGCATTATGACTTATTCATAATATACTATTGTCAATATTAAAGACATTATATTTTCTTCTAAGAAAAGTTAGAAGATTTTTTTGAAGAATAATTAGTTCGATAATACCTTGTACTATCAATCAAATGAAGATTGATACCCAAACTCCAATTTTCAATTTGAGTACTAAAATTATTTTTTGGTTTGTAATCGAGTCAAGCGATCCCGTTAATCAATATTCGAACACACTTTTCGCACATGATGGTGACATGATCCAATAAATAAAAAACACGTCGATCATTTTAGCCGATTATCGTTTTTACCGACCAACAAGCAAAAGTAAAATTACAAAATACCCTTACCCTTGAATTAAAACAAAATTGAGATCCAAAAATAAATTACCCATACTAGTCGAGCCATTATCTTCTTAAACCCTCTTGCTACAACCATCTCTCTCCTTTGATCAAATCTAACACTAGCCATAGCTCTTTTCGTCATCCCTCTCCTTTGATCAAGACTCAACACCAACCACTACAATCCTTATAGCCATAATCTTCTCCGGCCAAACAACATCGAAACACACCAATCACTACAACCCTCTCGACCATCCCTCTCCTCTAATCAAATCCAACACCAACCACGAGTTCTTTCGACCACCCTTCTCATCCAATCGGGACCCAACATCGGTCATTACAATCCTTATAGCTATTATCTTTTTTGGTCAAACAACATCGAGACCTACCAACTACCGCAACCCTCTCGACCATCCCTCTCCTCCGATCGAACCCAACAACAACCACACTCATCTCTCTCCTTCGATCATGACCCAACACTAGCCACAATAATCCTCATAGCCACCATCTTCTCCGACCAAATAACACCAAAAATGAACACTAGCCACTATCAAACGACGCCTGAATTAATCCTTTCTTCTCCAATAAAAAAAAAAAATCAACTTTATCACCCATTTTTTCCTTACTTATTTGGGTAAATATTTTAGATTTTTTAGAAAAGAAAAAAATAATCTTTATTGAAATTAGATAAGAGATCGAGCAACGATTTTAGATTTGTTAGAAAAAAAATAAAAAGTGATCTTTATTGAAATTAGACATGAGATTGGGCAAAAAATTTAGGTTTGGGTTTTTCGGATATTTCACTATCACATACCTATGATGTGTGTTTGGATGTTGATAAACGAGATCGTTCAACTCAATTATAAATTAAAAAATAATTTTAATACTTTTTTGTTTAAATTTAAAGTTGGAGTACCAATCCGTATTTGACCAATAGATGAGTGTACTATACAACCAATTATTTTATATATATATATACTTTTTAATTATCTAGAAAAACCGTCATTAATTGAACTTGAACCAAAAAGAGTCTCTATGCATAATGGAGGTGCTCAGTTTAAATAATATGTACATTTACTGCCGACTTCCTGTAATATTTCTTTATAGTATCAGAAAAGAAAAATTATCTTTATCGAAATTAGGCAGGAGATTTAGCAAAAATTATAGATTTGATAATTTAATTAGGTTTGAATTTTTTTGGATTTTTCACCAACATATACCTATCGCATATACTTAGATGTTGGTCAACAAAATTAATTGACTCAATTATAAACTAAAAAATAATTTTAACATTCAAATTGAAAAAATTTAAAATTCTAACACCTGTCTCTATTTGAGTTATAGTTCAAGGTACCATCTAACCAATTATTTTATTAAAACAAAAAAAGGTTTTTTTGGTAATTAATCTAGGAAAACTGCTCTAGAAGGTTGTCTTAAAAGGATTTTCTTGCAGTTAAATGATGCGGTGATCGTGACGTTATAGCTGAACTCGTGCCATTGATGGCACTCGAACCAAAACAGAGTCTCTATGGATAGTGGATATGGTCAGTTTAAATGACATGTACATTTACTGACCACTTCCTATAACATTCCTTTATAGTCGAGGCCTTTTGAGTGTGTACAGGAATACACATCCCTCGCCTACCATGGAGATCCAGTCGAGTGCTTCCATTCCGTCTAAAATGAAGGCTTGGGTTTACAGTGAATATGGGAACGCTTCCAATGTCTTGAAATTGGACTCAAATGTTACAGTTCCTGAAGTGAAGGAAGATCAGGTTCTAGTCAAGGTTGTTGCTGCATCCATTAATCCAGTTGATGCTAAAAGGATGCTTGGTATGTTCAAAGTCAGTGACTCTCCTTTGCCGGTAAGGAGAACTCTTTGTGACCCTTAAATTCCTTCTATATATGTTTGTCTGCTCTTTATCAGGTTCTAGGTTTCTATCTTTGGTTGTTGTTATAAGATTTGCAATGTATGGCCTCTGACATTCAAGTCCTCACACAAACTAGCACACGAACATGACATTTAGCCATCTTTGATGGGGTTCTTTGCGCTTTCTTTCTCTATATGTTTTGGAGGATTTTAAATGGTCCGGGGAAATTGGTGAATATTTGATGTACTTTGACAACACAAAGATGAGAACACTTCTTTCAAGTACTTCTTTCTCTGATCTCGTTTTCGTCTCCGGATTTGCAGACTGTTCCGGGCTATGATGTGGCTGGTGTGGTGGTTAAAGTAGGAAGCCAAGTTAAAAAGCTGAAGATAGGTGATGAAGTATATGGAGACGTTAATGAGAAAGCTTTAGACCACCCAAAACGATGTGGCTCCTTAGCCGAGTACACTGCTGTTGAAGAGAAGCTACTGGCTCTTAAGCCCAAGAACCTGGGCTTTGCTGAAGCAGCCAGCCTGCCCCTTGTCATTGAAACCGCCCATGAAGGTCTTGAAAGAACTGGGTTCTCAACGGGCAAATCTATCCTTGTTTTAGGAGGTGCTGGTGGAGTTGGTACCCAAATAATTCAGGTAGTCTCATGTACAAAAAAGTTAAATCATTTTCTGTCCGCCCTTTGATTTTCCCATTTGGGTTTCATTCCTTGATGTTTTCTTTTTGTTTTGAGACAGCTAGCAAAGCATGTTTTTGGAGCATCTATAGTAGCAGCCACCTCTAGCAAATCAAAATTGGAGTTACTGAAAAGTTTAGGAGCAGATTTGGCTATTGATTACACCAAGGAAAACTTTGAAGACCTGCCAGAGAAGTTTGATGTAGTATACGATGCAGTTGGTATGATTCTAGATCCATTATTGACTTACTAACTTCTTTCTTCTTGCACTTCTGTGCTTGTTGCCTTGAATAGTACAATGATATCTTCTAGACGTATACCTATTTACTGAGCCATTAATTTGAACAGTAGTTGGGAGTTCTGTTTGTTGAATGTTATTGTTTTGAACTCAAGGCATATGCGAGTTTTATGATGAGTGTATGTTAAATTGCTGATGCTTGAAGATTTATAGTAAACCACTATGACAGTAATGGTTGGCTTTCAATATTCAAAAACCAAAAAACAGGGCAGACTGACAGGGCAGTTAAGGCAGTGAAAGAAGGTGGAAGTGTTGTGACAATAGCAGGTCCTGTCATTCCCCCAGCATTCATATTCATCCTCACTTCTAATGGCTCTGTCTTGGACAAATTGAAGCCTTACTTGGAGAGTGGAAAGGTGAAGCCGGTGCTCGATCCCAATGGTCCATTCCCATTTTCTCAAACTGTGGAGGCATTTTCCTATCTTGAAACTGGTAGAGCTGTTGGAAAAGTGGTCATTTATCCATTCCCATGAGTCCATAAAGATGATAGATAGATATGGACACAAATAAATCGTTCATCCCCTTATGTATGCTAGTCGCGCGTGGATTGACTTTGTAATAAAGGTCCTGCAGTCAGCTTATGGAGTATGATTGCATGAAATAATGATTGCTTATGTAATATATTTCTTCAAGCATCCCTTTTATTTTAATAACTTAGAGATCCTAATGATTTTGATCTCTTATCCATGATCCTTTGTTCTTCTGCTCATCTTAATCTTCCCATGGCTAGCTATCAAAGTGCAATAGTTCTAGGATCTCAATATCCAAAACGCGCAGAGAACATTGCCGCCTGCTTGTGTATGGGTGGATTAAGTTAGCCCCAGTACTCTATCTGTCAACTTCTGAGTTTTGATGTGGGCTTAAATTTGTTGGGATGCCGATGGAATTTTGGTTCACTATGCTTGGGACAATATGCGGAATGATGGAATGGAAGGATGATTGGTCATGCCAATCGAATACAATAACTCGTAATGGATTGATTGGTGCAGGGCACCTCCAAAAGAAAGTGGCACCAAAGACCAGAAATTAGCAACGAGTAATTTTTTGGTGCAGTTACTTAACTACTGCTATTCCAGTAGTTATAACATGAGCCACCATCGACAAACCACTTTTTCACACATCTATCTAAATCGTGGCAACAAAAGTTTTATCATGTCAGTACAAATACTGGTGCTGTGAGTAGGTGGTGAATCCATGCCTAAAAATAAAATGTAAATAGAACAAAATGATTTGCAGATATGCTTACACAGTCGGAAACTAGACCGTGATTTTACAGGATCAGGATAATATTTCGACTTCATTGTGCTACTGTTATATTCCAGCATCAATGCTGTGCTATCAGATGATATATCATCAAATATCATGTCTCAAAAGAATCCGCTAACGCCACGTATAACCCTGTCACGAATGCGACCCCCATTGCCTCCATTGCCAACATTGTAATTTATTTGGATGAATCAAGAAAATCATGAATCTCCACTTCATTATGCATAGCTGAAATAAAGTGAAGAAATACTGCAGAAATAGCTAGTATCATTGCTATGGTTTTCTGAAGCAACAAATTCTCTAAAAGCAGCTTTTTTCGGTTAGAACTGTCATTCCTTTTGTCTTTTCCTTCACTATTATGGCCATCAGATAAAGTAAAATCAGCAGCAAAAGTTACAGTTGCTATGAGTGTCAAATGTATTTCCCTTATCCTTTGCAAAATAGAGGCACCCTCACCATTAGTCTTTTCTTCTCCGTTGGGATTTTCCTTAGTTGTATATGGCAGATTCTGGCTATTGTCAGGTAAATGCATTTTGTCGTTTAAAGAGCGATGAATGTCAGCCTGCAAGCGCATTTTGGTCATTCTAAGATATTAAAATCTAAACCGTAAGACATTGCAAAGTACGTGAGGAAATAGTTTTATAGGAGTAATGTTACCTCGGCACAGGTTGAGTTTAAAGTTGAGTTTGGTACCATTTCTAGTGGAGTTAAATCATTGTCATTCAAAGACCACTTGTCCACTTCACGGCGATTGATCAAGGCAAGTATATATTTGCTGGAAGTAGCAAGCACATTGAGAGGCGTGTTTCCTTCGTTTATAAGTTCACTGAAAAAGGGGTGTTTAAGAATGTAATTGATCACCACTCTGCCTTGCCCACTTTGGGCTGCGACGTGAAGCGCATTCCTGCCTCTATTATCAACCGCTTTGCACAATCTGGACAAAACCCCATTAACTTTTTTATTGAAGATATAGCACCTACGCTGGCAGCAATGTAGAGGGCAGTCATTCCATCTCTATTTCTGAAATAAGCGACTGATTGATCGTGATTAAGTAATGGTTTCACCGCAGATGGGTAATCTAGATATGCACCCAAGTGCATAGGAGTCATCGTATGATGATGTTGTACTAGTTTTTAAGATCTCGTCACCCACATCGAAGAATCGTCTTTCTGAAGGAATAAAGAGTGGAGTCTCTCCTGCAGTATTAGCAGAATATAGGAACTCGGTGTCTTCTTCAGCCTCCATCCTTACCATATATATCAAGTTGCAGCTCCGCTTCCCATTTCCACATCCTGGTAAAAGCTTTCCACTTCTCAATCAGAAACGAACAACATGAGAGAGAGTTCTCCTTTGGCTGGCTGATCGATGAACTGCTGTTTCACCTTTCATATTCACTTTATACAAAAGCGATGGACTTAAAAAAGAGTTTAGGATTGCTTCCAAACTTCGACGCAATGTGAAGCGCTGTATTATTGATTGGTGTAGCTTGAATGTCGAATTGGTCGGACTTATGCAGGAGTATATCACCTTTCCATCCATGACACAACTTGGTACAAGTGAGGATCCATGTATGTGATATGATCTATCTGACAATACGACCAGCGACAGAAAGGTTCAAGTTCACAATTTCATTGTCGGATTTTGCACTCCTTGTTGTGTTTAAGAAGACTGATTCATAGGAAGATTGCTTTCCATGTACTTAATTTTCGTTCTTCATACTCTTGATTTTTGGAATTTAGTCAAACAAGATTTTTTAGATGCTGAAAGACTACCCATAGTCGTATAGATTAATGATGGGAAACAAAGACATCATAGGAGTTTGTTGGACTAGTCTCTGCTTTTCTAGGAAACGTGCTGAGATGGTTTGGGCTTTGTATCAATTAGTCTGTATTCCAAGCCCACAACATTACCATGAGAGTCAAAGCAAGCGGTGCCTGAAACAGCTCAGAAAAACACCCTCCTTTCCGCAATCCGATTTCTCCTCGTGATCAACTTTCCTTCACCATTCTTTCCCTTGCCTTAACTAGGTTGAATTGATTTGAAGCCAAAACGAAACTCTTCTAATTTTTTAATCCAATTCCAAACATTCGACAGAAACAATGTCCCAACTCCTCTCTAATTTCTTCAAAGAAACTACAAAACCCTTAACAGCTGGTCGACGTCCATGGTCCGTTTTCCTAGACCTCACTTTGCTAAACCTTCCCTCTTCAATCCACGACGTGACAACACGGATAACCCAAAACGTGCTTCATTTCTCCGTTAATTACTCTATAATCGTCTTGATAATCCTCTCTTTATCCCTCTTAAACCACCCTCTCGTGCTAATCGCCTTGTTCATCACTCTAATTGCTTGGCTCTCTCTCTATTTCTCTCGGGACGAGCCGCTTTGGGTTTTGGGCTATCAAGTGAGTGATTGGGTGGTGTTGGTTGTGCTCTTTGTGGTTGACTTTTTGATTGTGATTCGGGGTGGGGTTTTGCATACTGTTGTTGTTGGTGGTGGGATCGGTGTCGTTTTGATGCTTTTGCATGCTGGGTTGAGGAGTACGGATGATCTAGTTGCTGACGACATTGAAACCTCGCCGTATGCCAACTTGCTCTCTGATGATGATGGTGACCATAATGCTCCGACTGGGGGCTTGTAGTTCTGCCTAATTGGTGTTTGTTTATTTTGTTGTAATTTCGGGTACTTTAATTGAAAAGAAAATAAAAGAAATTGTTTGGTTTTAGCTTAATTCATGTCCTCGTGACTCTGGATATGGCATTGCATCTTTGTGTTATGGTGATTCGATTGTTGCTTAGAATGCTCATCACTCACAATATTTTCACCTTTTTCAAATGGATTAGTGCAAACTTTAAGTCTTGTAATGCTGTGATCTGAGTTGCCATAAGCTTGATCCTTGTATCAAAGTACAGGAACAAAGAGGAAATAGGTTGCGGGCTTTGAAAAGTTCACACAGCGTCTAACTAGCTTCATATCTGAAATCTTGCTATCAAATCATAACAAGGAATGTGTGTATGAAACGGGTAAAAGGCAAAAGGAGCATAAGCAATTAGTACTCCTACTTTTTTCATGTTATAGATCAATTAGGAAACTAAAGTTCAAGCTGACATGCACATCCTGGCTGAAAGGGGTTTCAAAGTTACTCTTTATCTTGGACTGGTATCTCCAAGCGCTTTTTTTCATCTTCGCCCTTCAGCAAGAACCTAATTGGTTCCATCTAAAATGGTCACCAATTGACCATTCTAGCCCAACACTGCCAGATGTTTCTCAGCCCACCCCTCATTGTGCTGTTTTTGAATTTAATCCATGGACTGGCGGTAGTCCAGAATCCCCAAATTTCCTAATCATAAAGAATCCATATTCGTCTATAACTTATCTGTTGTTTCTACAATGTCTCATCTTCCTTCATTACAAGAAAAGTTGAAAAAGAGAGAGACCAGGGTGGTTTTAGCAGATTTATTCTGTGCGCAAGCGATGTGATGTAAAACTTTGTTTTTTTTTTTTTTTTTTTTTCATTTCCAACCACCTGGAACAAGATTTCTGTTGCAAGAGATGGGCATTTTGCCACTGAAGCGAGATGTTTATGGGGACTGAGCTTTACGACCGTATGAGAGAAGCATTACAAAATCTTTAGCTGAGCTGCCCACTGTTGTCTGTATTTTTTCAGATGCTGAAGCTGTCTGCAACCACCAGTCTACCAAGTTGTGCAGCTGCAACGTTGAAACCACTGGCTGACCACGCACTGTGATCTCCACCTGTGAAAAATTTGAACATTACTCATGGTGTTTTAAATTTCCTTAGTTCCAGAGCCAGTAGTTTCAAATAATTTAGGAACACACTTCACCAGCATTTTATGTTTTAAACAGATGGTAAAAGCTTCCATCCTAACAAAAAACTGTTGCAGATCTTGTTAAAGCAGACGCTACAAAAAATTTGATTGCAATATCAAAAACCAAAAGAGTAGCAAGCCTTTTTCCTGCCATTCATCATGGAAAATGACGTATAGGAACCACAATAAATAATTTGGACATTCAAATTCAAAGGAAAGAAATCTATGAATGAAGAAAAGGAAATACTGACCACTTTCATTACCAATAGGAAAAGAAGAGGGAAAGGAAGAAATAAAATTATTTAGATTTACATGCACAAACTGATAAATGAACAAAGATGAAGTTACCTCAGCCTCACTGACAAGACCCAGCTTCTGGACTAGATACCTCTTTATGTATGAAACAGGCAAACTACCATCCCTACAATGAAATTGCAACTAGATGTGTAAAAACAAGTAGAGAACATATCAAATGACTATATTTCTTTGTAACAATATGAAACTTTTTTTAAAAAATGTTTTTGGTATAAAGAAAACTTGCGATGAAAAAAAAAAAAAACCCGAGGGAAGAAATAAAAAATAAAATGTGCTCTATCTTAAGGTTCATAGATGACCTGAAATTGGACAGTAGAGATCTATTTTTGCAATGGAACAGAACAGATGCAGAAGTTTTTGGAGCAAATTTATTACATTCTAGGTATCAAATCCCCCCATAAAACTGTTCTTAGCAATAATATCACTTTAAAGCCACAGATTCTTCTGAATAATCAATTATTAGTATTCTAAATGAAATTCTGTCCTACGAAAAGAAAATTAATATCAGAGATGGTGTGCAGAATTCATGTATTCAATTAAAATACTTCATGGTTATATGATGAATGGCTTCGTTTTCACAGGACAACACCATTATGTTTTTTATGCTATGTTCCCCTATTTTGATTGTAACCAGCTGTATGCAATCAGAACTTAAACATAGCTCAGCATGCAAAACCTCAGAGACAAAATTGTAAGTGCAGCTGCCTTTTGAAGCAATGCAAGGAAACCCCCGATTTTCAAAGGCTTAAAAACATTCAAAATTTTAAAAACAAGGTTTCAGGTGTTGCTGGTATTTGAAAAGAATGTTTGCTCCTGTACTTTCAACAGCGTTTTTTCAATCTATTTTCTTCACAGAATTCCATAGTTCTGTGAAGTGAAAGAAAGGAATAGCCACGAAAGTGCACAAGAGTCATAAATATATTTTACTTCTAGCCTGTGATTAGTCGTGCTTTGCTGGAGAATATCTGGAGGTACATATTCATTGAAACCAAAATAATGTAAAGGGAAATAGACATCATACTATTATGATGGAGAACAAAAGGATATCAAGCTTACAACAGAAGCAACGGGAATTCAGTGTAACCAAAATAAATAGAAGGGAAACCAAAGTTTGCATAGAAAACATCAGATAAGGTATAATTCATTGTCATGAAAAAATCTACAAACCTTAACATACCAAAATGCAATTACAATTTCGCATATAGCAAACCATGGAATTTCATACAGAACTGAAGTACAGTGGCAATAAAACACAGTTTAACCAGAAGCCTATGTCAAAACTCAAGACCAAAATGGACACTGACAAGCAAACCAACATTATGAATATAAACCAGATAGTGGGGATAATGAAACTCACTTAACCCTCAAGTAGCACGAAGATATCTGTGGCAAGGGCGCACCTCCGTCCCTGAAATTATGCCAAAAAGAAACTGTACTTAACAACATGACATGGTATAATTGACTTCAATCATCAATGAATCTTTAGTAATGGTAAAGAAAGAAATCTCACTGCTCAGCAGAAGCAACTAATGAGAACCAAATTGGACTAAATCTTCTATCACATTTACTGTTTGCATCAACAACAGTCTGCGGTGGAATATTCAATCCCTCGGAGGGAGCTGATCTTTTTTGTCGCATGCCTTGCCCCCTGCTAGGTTTCACTGAACCTGAAGGTGATGCAATCGAGTTAGATTCTTCGCCATTAATTTTAAATTTATCACCATGCTCCTTAATGATGGCTTTGAGTGCTTGAGCTTCTTCCTCCTGGGCATCAAGCTTCTTTATTTGGACTAGAACTTCCTGTAGGTCTGAGTTATTAGACTTTGTTTTGCTTGCAGCTTCAACCAAGCAATTTAAGGGTTTCCACAAATCAGCTTTCCGTTTACATGGTTTAACACCATCCTCTGAATCTTTATTAGGCGTACATTGTTTGGATGACTCAGCAGTAGAAGAATTCTACACCATGAAAATAATTACACAGGAAGTTACTATGCATCAAAGCAAGGCCACACCATTTTCTAAGGACAAAAGAAAGGTGAGAGAAAAGTGATAGTAAGAAAACTTGAAGCTTAACCACTTCTACCTGCCTTTTAGTTTGTGCAAGTTTGGTTAGAGTCTCAGGTGAGCTTAAACTCTCATAGTAATTGTCCACTTTCTTAACTTGTTCTTCAATGGGAACAGGAGATTCTCGTTTTCTAGCTATAGATTTTGATCTTTTTCCCGTCAGAACAGACTTGACAGATATCTTAGGTGTGCTGACTACCAATGAGGAGAGGGATCTCTCTTTTCTTCTTCCTATCAATGGAACTGACTCGTCTTCTGGGACTGGCATGGCTTCAGGGACTGCTGGCACAGCTTCTGGGACCGACTGGACATCTTCTGGGACTGAGGACACTGTATCAGGTTCCTTGGCCTTTTTTCTTTTGGAAGGGAAGATTTTGGCCCTTAAATCTTGCAAGCTGTGGTCAGCCCTGTGGATTAACGTAAAGAAAGCAAGTTAAAATTGGCTCAAGACTCTGCTGCTGTAGTTAAATCCATGAACAGTTTCTGAATTTTGGTTGTCTTCCAAGTGCTAAGGCAACCTTGAAAATAGACTTCTAGTTGTTCTGTGGCATATAAATAGATTGAGGCACAGGTTCAATCATAACATATGCAAGATGCTACATCAGAAAATCCAAATAAATAAATGCATCCCACATGAGTGGCAGGGCAGGGATGCTGCCCAGGTATATGCAACATGATAATTGATTTCCAAGTGTCACATTGCATGTCTACAGTTTGAGGCATATACTTGCTGTGAGGTATAAATATCTAATAAATTGACTTGGAAATTTGATATCTTCTTTCCAAGCACATTAATTAGTAAAGTCAAAGATTGGTTCTACTGTTTGAAAAGGCACAGAAATTTTAGAAAATGATTTCATTTATTATATAGCATCCTCATTTCTCAATAATTCTGACACCCAAAGATAATTTCACCTTGCACTGCATGGATAACACTTTACGTCCTACATATGTGTAATACAACAGTCCAACTATATAAGAAATAGCTATATATTGCTTTGCCGTGGCACGCACAAGATCATGCATCATTAAAATTGCTGTGACATAAACTTTAACAATCAATAAGAGAAGGAGATGATCAAATACCTGAGCTTCTCAAGTGGAGAACAACCTAACTCAGTATCACAAACTGGACAACTATCCAATTCCTCATCGGTTATCTTCTCGTATATGCATTTTCTGCAAACTATTTTTAAAAAATAAAAAGAAGAAGCAGGCATTAGATATATGCTAGATAGATATGCATGTAACATTTAGGCAAGAAGTCACTTCAAACATACTTCTATTTCTAAAGGAAATTAATGCAAATTCAAAACCTTTATTCATCATCCCCAAGAACCGTACTGTTCTCATTTGACAGCATGAACTAAACAAGGACATGACAATTTTGATGAACTTGAATAAGAGCGCAACGACCATGCAAAACTTCCAACGACCCCAAGTTAAAATTTTACTATTTCAGCTAAGTATTAAAATATGAACATTAATGATGATTTTATGGTTGATGAATTACTATAAGGCTTGCAGGCTCTCATCATATTTCTCATACACACAATAAAGAAGTTAAATTTACCAATCAAATTTCAATCTTTTCCTTAATTTCAAATTAAAACTCCTAATTCATTGAGCAAAAATAGACCAAGAAACCAAAATAAAGAAAAACTAAGATCATAATTAAAATCGCATTTCACTACTCTCCTTATGATTACAAAATAACCAAAACAATAAACCAAGCTGAACTCCATACAGTAATTAAGAGATGAAACACAGATTACGCGAACTAACAATTAAGCGCCCACATCAAGAAACAAAACAAAACCAAAAAAAAAACACATCGAATAACACAAATAGAAGAAGATAAACACACATAGAAAATAGAGAGAGAGAGAGAGAGACTCACAAGTATGGAGGCACTCGGAGATAGTAGTGGCGTCTCTAAAGAGCTTGTTGCAAAGAGGACAAGTCATGCATGCCGCTATTTCCTCTTTTCGAACCTTCACCACCTGGCCTAACATCATCTTCGCTAACACCACCACCTGCCTTTTGGCTCTCACTATGACACTAACACTCTCCCTTGTTTCACGTACCCCACATGGTGCATGTAATCAAGACCCCACAAATCACGAGAGTTGCCTTTTCTTTTCCAAGAAAAAACCACGACAATCACAAGCAAGAATCGGCGAAGAAACAGAAGGGGCTGGGTTGGTTGGTGATTAACGATTTTAAACAATTTATTTGGCAGTGGCTTTGTGTTGGGTGAGCGAGAAAAAGGAATCAAAGAGAGGGCTCTTATTATTAATAAAAACAAAAAAAACCGAAGAGAGTGAATTTTGTAGTATTAGAATAGAGGTGGGTCTTGTTCGATTTGGACAAGGGTAATGGCCTTTATATGATTTGTTCGAGGCTCTCAATGTTTTCGAATACAATCGCAGAACCTCCTCCTACAAAACAAAACTAATACGATGAAGCTATTAACTGTGCCTTTTTTTTTTTTTTTAATAAAAAAGCGCGTTACTGTTTTGGGCAAACCTCAGAAAAGTCCCTCAACTACATAGAAATTTTAGATTTAGTTTCCCAACATTCTTTATCCTAATTAAACCTTTCAAGTTTCAAATTTCCTCGACTAAGTTTCCTCATTCCGGATTTGAGCAACTCTATTTAGACTTGGAGGAGAAATTTTATAATATACAAGGTATAACTAGTAACATACATAATAGTTACTCCATAAACCAATTTTTGAGAAAAGAGATAGATGAAAAAAAGAAGAGAGAAAATTAAAAAAAAGAGCAAAAATAAAAATTTTCTTATCACTTTTGGTAGATCTGGATATAATTTAATGTGTCTATCCCTCTTCTCAAAGTGGATCCATTGAGTAATTATCGCACATGTCATTAGTTACTCTTTATGTATTATAAAATTTTTCAAAGTTGAAAAACATGATATTTATGAGAAATTATTAGATGAATTTGGTTTATTTGTTGAGAACATGCAATGCACCAACAAATTGTTAAAATAATTACATATCATTATATGTATCCATATTAGGAAATAAAATCTTTTTTCTCCCTCCTCTTAAAAAAACAAATCTTTCTTGTTATATAACCATAGTTATTGTTTATCCATTTTAAAAGTTGATAGTAAGATTAAATAGTATGATATGTCCTTTCACAATTAATTGATACATAATTTAAAGTTATGAAACCAAATTTATTATTTAATAATTTTTCCTTATTGATGTGCATTGGTATACATGAATAGAGAAATCTTATTAAGTTATCTGTAGCCGTGGAAGAGGCAATGGAGTTGAAGACATGAGGGCAATTTGGGAGTTTAAAAAAATAACAAATTGAGGACTCAACTATCAAGTGATTAATTAATAGTTTTTAAAACAAGTGGGACTACATAATTTGTTTGTTGAGAAATCAAGGACTACAGCACACTCATTCCTTTTAAGTGGACTGAGATTAAATGCTCTCTCTAGAGTAAATTATAAATTAGTCCTTTAAAAAAAACAAATTAATTAGTCCTTTTCATTTTAGAAACTAGTCATTTAATTTTTTTATATTATAATTTTATTAATAAATTAATCTTTTTGTGTTTTCTATTAAATTAGTGATGAAGTGTCCAACCATAATATTTTTTATTTACAAATTGTCTTTTATTTAATATTTTATTTATCTTCTTTCCCCATTCTTTTTCTCTCTCTTCAACTATTAACTAATTAAAGAAATGTAAAGAGAGATCACCATAATGATTGAGAAGAGAGAAAGAAAGTAGATGAAAAAGAAAAGTAAAACATAAAGATAAAAAAATTGATGAAATAACTAAATTCTTGACATAATTAAAATATGAAGGATTAAAAAATTATTTTTTGAAAGAATATGAACTAAACAATTCATTTCTTTAAATGAGAGGGATTAATTTATAATTTACCCACCCCGCTTTGTATGTATGCACGCGCGCGTAGAGTTGTGTAGCGTGCTTGTGTTTCTCATGCTTTTTGCTTCGCCGTTTGGTTGCAGCCTGCAAGCGCTGGTGCTGCTGCGGCGCAGGTCCTTGTAGGTATTGACGTATGGTCCGTGCAGCGAAAGGAAGGGGTTAATTAGCCAGCCAAGCCCAAGCGTGAGTGCTGTGTTTAAAAGTCAAAAGTCTAGCTACTGATACAATACTGTACAGTGCATGTAATGTCATGTAATGCCCAGATTGGATTGAGATTGGATCAGGTGGTGAGATAATAATGGGTCCCATAACTGTCACAAGACAAGTGTTGCTTGGATTCGTAAATGCTAATATGGGCTTTCCACGTAGGGTGGTCGTGTGGTCAATAATGATTGTGATTGATGATGGTAAGTATTAGTTTATTTATTTATTTATTTTCCTTGCAAGAGTAAAAAGTTCACCCATTCAAATTTAAAATTTAAAAATATCATATTATAAGAGAAGGTTAGTAAAGTCCTTCAATTTTATAATAATCATCGATTCAATTATTACTGTGGTAAAAGAAAAATTATAATTCCACCATATTTTAACCAGCTATTGTGTACTTTAAAGTCCTATGTATGAAAAATTGTAAGGACAAATTACAATCCATATCTGAGATAACGAGAAACTCAAATTGGTTGTATTAGACAAATTAACAACCAATTAGGGTGATTGTTATCGAAGATGATCACCAGAAAGATGCTCCAACTGTGGTGGTGGGCTCATTGTCATTGAGCTAGAGCTAGCTGTGAATTTTGATTTTAACAGACATTTTTATCGCGTCTATGTAACTTCTCTACATGATTTCTATCTTCCCTGACAAGGTGGCTTTACTGGATAGCATTTGGCAAAGCAAGAACCGACTTTCCTGGCCATAGCAAGCCTCTGCTCCCAAGTGGCAGCTCGCTGACCATGTGACGAAATATTTTCAGCTTAGCTGGCAGTGTTGCTGTTGAGAGTTGCCTCAAAAAAAAAATTGGACAATTCTTGTGTGGAATTTTGATGCACCTCGAGGCGTGATTTGCTAGAGGACCGTGAGTGACTGCATCATTCGTTACGTGTTTTTTGTCGTCTGTTTTTCTGGACAAGTAGGTACCCAGTTGTGCTATTTTTGTATTAATTACTTCGTATATTACTAGATTCATTCTGTCCTTTTTCGGGGGAGAGAGAGAGATTGGGCTAACTGACATAATCAAACAAATGAGAGACGGTTTACTTCTGTAAACGGGTTTTCCCCATACATAACCTGTGTTTTTTTTTTTTTTTTATTGAGATATTTTATATATATATATATATATAATTTGATTGAAGGTATTTATTTTTATTTTTATTTTTTAAAATTTTTTCATTATAATACTCCTTATTTTTAATTTGCCGTAATACGTTATTGTTGCACTCTATTTATCAATAATTGATAAGTAACCTTATAAATCTTATAAAATTATAAAGTCGTCTGGATTAAAAACTAATTTTAATAATAAAATAATACCAAAAAATCAAAACCCACCTCCCCATTATTTCCTAATCCATTTCTTTTGCTTACGCCCTTCTCTCTCTTCTCCTTTTCTCTGTTCTGATGAACTCATTATTTCACAATTGCTAATGGTGGTGTATTGCCTACAAGGGTTTCTAGAGGCCCTGTTGAATGAATATGAACATGATCGACTTTGTCTATTGTGAAGTTACAAAGAGAAACGAAGGCAAATACTGAGAATTTAGGTTGTAGTAGGACGAAGAATTGGGTTGGAAAATAATTGGGGGTGGGGGTTTTGGTCTTTTCATTTTTTTATTATTAAAATCAGTTTTACTTTTTTTTTTTTTTAATTTAATCAATCGCAACGTGTTATGTTATATTAAAAACAGACGCCATAATGAAAAAAAATTAAAGAATAAAAATTTTCAATGAAGTTAAAAAAAAAAATAACAAGCTTTGATGGGAAAAAAATTAAGAGTGCAAGATCTATGAAGAAAAACCTTATGTGAACTAGAGATCTAATGTAGCTCAATCGACTGGATAAGAAACAAAAAGAGAAGGAGTTACATAATCCCTGAGGTTTAATGAAACTAATTGATTAGTCCTTGCAGTTTTAAAAACTATATTTTTATCCTTATATTTTTAAACTCGTTTATAACTTATCTTTTTCATCCGATTCATGTCTTTTTCCAACTTATTTTTGTTCTGTTATTTTAAAAAATAAAAATAAAAATAAATTAGACAAGATGTGAAAGAATACGAAGAAATAAGAGTTTTTGAAACAAAATACTATTTAAATTCAAAATGATCCAATGCTTGTAAAAAGACTAACAATTAAAATGTTGTTCATTTTCTGTAAAGAATTAACTCAACATAAAAGATTTTTTCAACATCTATGATAAATGTACTTGTTATAAGAAAAACAAAATAACATAATTTTGAACTTGTATATATTCATGACTAGAACAACCATCGTACCTCTACATGAGAAAGTAAATATCATGAATATGTTAACATTGCTTTAATAATTTTAACATAGCAATACATATTTAGAAATTATTAGTTTCATATTCACATCATTCTCTACTAAATCTTGTCATCTAACTGGTTCAATTCAACATTATTCTCAGTGTCTAAAGAAAATAAATATTAAAATGACGCTCCACTAGACATGGACATTGTTTAAAACTCAATATACTAACAACATTATTGAAAACCATTTTCATTAGCAACAAATAAATATACATTTTAATTTCCAACAACATTTTATTTGTATTTTAAAAATGTTTGACACACGTATTCCTATCTAGAAATCGAGTAGGCAATATAGTTCATATTGACAACTCAAAATGATAGTGTGATTTTTTTATCTTATTATCTTAATATCTTAATGTGACTTTAGTGTATATATATCTGTGTGTGTCATTAGCTTGTTGCAATTAAAAAATTACTAAACAAAAAAATGGAGAAAATATATAATAATGAATAGTAAAAAACAAAAGCATGACGAAATGCATGAAAAAGATTATCTTAAAGCCACCAGACACATATAATGTAACAATGAATTGAGCTATTGCAAAAATAAACTAAAAAAACTGGACTTATATATATATGTCATTAGCTTGTTGCAATTAAAAAATTTCTAAACTAAAAAAATGGAGAAAAAAATATAATAATGCATAGTAAAAAACAAAAGCACGACAAAATGCATGAAAAAGTTATCTTAAAGTCACCAAACACATATAATGTAATGATGAATTGTGCTATTACAAAAACAATTAAAACAACCAGACTTATTAGTATTCATCTACCGTTTGTTCATACTCAAATCTACTATAAACCAACAATCATTGTTACTCGTTTTTGCCTCTCAATTGTTGATCCTCCATCTTCTTTTTCACGACCATAGGATTTGATGATTTTATCTCTCTCTCTCTCTCTCTCTCTCTCTCTCTCGTATAAATTTTATTGGTTAAAAAGAGATAATGTAATATGAGCAACTAATAGATTATTGTCATGTTATCAAATCTTATCTTCAATAATCTTCAATTCATTATAATAGACAATGTTTTTTTTCTCTCTCTCACATAAGTCCGCAATTCACAAAAAAAAAAAAAAAAAAAAACTTTCTCTCTTTCTCATATTTATGTAGCCCACAAAAAAATTACTCATTCGATCATACAACAATTATTCATGGAGATTCATTAATCAAAACCCTTTTTTTTTTTTATTTCTCATGTGTTTTTAGCTTCGTTTTAACATCATTATTGCTGTTTTAACTCTACTTTTTTTCCTCCTAGTTTGTATTGTTCTTACTATATGTGATGCTCATCTACTATGACTAGCGTGGGTTTTATTCTCATCCTCATCTTTGTTTGTCCTTGATGAGTTTGCTTTTTATATTTTATTATTGGTTTTTGTGTCTTCTATTAACAACTAACTTGAATTATTGCTTTCTTTGTTTTCTTGGGACTCGCTTCTTGAGATGAATCTCGGTAGTTTGAAGGCTTCGTCTTTGTGCTCTTACTCGTAAAATCCACCTTATTAGTTGATATATTTTCATCTTTTTCATTTACTTGCTCAACATGTAAACTACCAAAGACTCGTTTCTAGATCTTACTCGATTTCATGTTTGCTCGGATTTCCCTTCGGTTCCAAATTTCTTTCGAGTGCCACCGAGTTAGCATATGACTTTTTTAATTCTTAACAACCAAACATGGAAATAGTTCAAGTAATTTGGCCTAACGCAACCATTTCTCTTCAGCGACGAGATAGGTTTTAACGTCTAGCATGTTTATCTTTTCAACATAAGTTGGTGTGTTATTAGCGGATGAAACAAAAGGCAACAAAAGAAAAGTTGTTAAATCAAGTCTATTCTTTGTTATGTCAAGACTTGCTTTAAGGTCACCATTTACAATAGGGACTTCTTTTAGTTGTTTGTTTCCTATAGAAGCATTGAGCATGCACTTTGATCAGTTAATGCCATAAGCTTAGTTTTTTGTCCAAAAATTTTTTTGTTGTGTTGTCGTTGTCACATGTTGTTTGCAAGACTTTTAAGACGTCCTCTCTTGCATTTACTTAGTGTTCTTTTTTCTGAATTCGAGTTGTTTCTTTTTAGAAAAAAGCTTTAAATTCTCTTGCAGCACAATTTGTGTCTCCAATTATTATTATTATTATTATTATTATTGTTTTAAGGCACTCTCATCTAGGTGCCTTTGTATTTTAGTGAAGAATTCAAGCAATTTTCTTAATTGTTTCGTAGACCTTAGTGGAAGAACTAAAGAAACATTTGGATTACCGAATTCAAATGCAATTTGGAGTTTTATGACGGACATATAGTAATCATTATGCATGAAGCACATGTAAACAATTAATCTAATCTTTTCAATATGTTGCATGTCACTATTTTCATTATCATTTTGTATCTTATCTTCATGAATAAGGATTAAGACTAAAGCACTCGGAAGGAAAAAATTCAAGAACCAAGATGAGTTATTTTATGAGCAAATGGTTAAAAAAAGGGTGGCCGAGTTTGTTAGGATAAAAGGTAAGTTAATCAAGAACTTCTTGATAGCCGTGGTCGCACATTCACACATGGGCATTTATATAATAAGCACGGGCATCTCACATTTCCTTCTAGTATTGCCCGCAAGATCATCAAATTGCATACTAACACCTTAAATTTCTAATTATCCATATCTTTATGATCGGCTAAATTAATTCTACTCTAGCCAAGCACTTTTTCTTATCGAATTTGTAGCAAACTTCATGAGCTTTTACAAGTACAAAGGGACAAACCAAGGTAACGATAACTTATTACCACATCATTATGACTTTTTTTTAGGGGGCATTATGCATCCGACTACATGTTTTTACTCAAATTATAAAGGCAATTTGCTTCGACTACTAGCTCCTTTATATTGGTTAATCACTCATTTTTTAAAAAAATTACTCAAGCTTGCTAATGTTATTTTCTAATAGGTGTTGCTTCATTTACTTTGTAAAGAGATGCAATCCAAGCATCGAGAAGAGCCAAAGACAATTCACAATTTTCGACGCTAAAAAAGAAGAAATGAATTTGACTACTTCATGAACTTTTATACTATTATTAACAAAGAGGTCATAATAGATGTGGAGCAAGATGTTCAAAGGTTGAAGTATGTTTGCTACCAAATCGACGACCCAAAGATATACTTAATCGTGAGGTTAAGTATGGAACACAATAAAAAAAAGAAGTCTAAGTAGATCTGATTTGATTTAATAAAAAGATTACCGACACAAAAAAATTTCACAACCCTTTACATATAGGGATGGAGCTAAAAGCAATGTAGCGTTGATATCCATATAGTTAAAAGAAATTAAAAGGCATGAGTTTTTTGAGCAAGTAATTACTGTTTATAAACTATTCATATGTTTAAAAATTACTATTTATTTGATGGTAATTTAAGTAATTTTTCGCATGGTCTTTTTATAATTTTAGCACTTTTTTTCGTTTTTCTCTCATGTTGTAACATATTTTTCAATTCTTAACTTTTATTTTATTTTCACACGGTAAGTGTATAGATATATACACTTCAGCTTTTATTACTTTTATTATTTAAATTTCTTTTTTTGAATTTATCATTTTTTTAATGAAAATTTTCTTTCAATTAATATTTTTTATATAAAATTTTATTTATTGATAAATATAATTTATTTTTCTCTATGTTTGAATTTTAAAATAAATTTTAAATATATTTTTCTTTTTTAAAAAATAAATTGATATAATATATATCATGAATTCTAAGAATTTTTAAATGATAATTACACGCACGCGCGCGCGCGCGCACACACACACACACACACACACTTTATTTTAAAAGATTTAAAATTTATTTCAGATAATTTATCTTAGTTTACTATGTATGACCAAGACATGTAAAAAAAACAATGATTCAATAGTTTTGAAACATATATATATATATATGTATATCAAATGTATATACTTTAAAAAATAATATTCTCACCAACATTAACTAAGAATAAAATTTTATTTGTTCATTAATTATTTTTTATGCAAGTCTATACATTAATTGTAACTTTACTTTTTGGATACATTCTTATAAAAATGTATATTTTTAAAGTATTTATTTTTGAATTCTTAATTAATATTTCATGTTTAAATTATTACAAGTTTTTACTTAAGAATCCATGAATAAAGAAGAATAAATCATGTTTTTTAAGCATAAATTTTCTGAAAAACATAAAAAAATAGTAATTATTACATAAAAAATTAATGAAAAAATTATAAAATTTTGAAATGATTTTGTTCGATCTACTCATAGCGTTGCGCGGATAATTTTAATAATTAATCTTCTTATCAATATTAACTACGAATAATTTTTTTTCATTTGTTCATTTTTATAAAAATCTGTTCATTAATTATAACTTTATTTTTTGAAATACAATATTATGAAAAATATATTTTAAAATTTTTTTAATTCTTGATTAGTATTTCAGTTAAAATTATTAAAGTTTTTATTTTTAAAATCAATCTATAAAGAAGAATGAATTAATCTTTTTAAGCAGAAAATTTATGAAAAATATTAAAAAAATTAATTTAATTAGCAAATTAAAAAATTAAAAAATGATTGTGATTTGTCAAACTCGTTGCATAGCGCGGCATCCGCCTAGTTTTTAGTAGAAAGAAAGCAAGACAAATATTGACTTCCAACATGAAGTTTTTTAATCATTTATTGTTCCACCACAAGCACGTGGCGATTCCAACTTGTCCTAGGGCTAAAAGTTTTCTAAAAGACGAATTTAACGGCTAAGGCATTATATAGCATTTATAAATCTTCGTGTTGCTTTGAGTCGCTAATTTTTTTATTTATAAATATTATCGGGTAAATTTCTATTTTTTATATAATATGTTCATCCTGATTTTTCATATAAATTTTTGTTGTTTTCTTATAAAAATATAATAAAATAAAATAAATCATATAATGAATAAATAAATCCATCATAAATTAAGATGAATAAAAAAATCTGAAACTCTTTATCTTGATCATAAGAAAAATTAAATATTAAAATCATATTACTATAATTTTAAGACATAAAGATGATTCAATTATCAAAATCTCCAAATTGAACAAGTTGAAAATAACTTAGATATTGTCTAAAATTATGAATTTAAAAAACACCAAAATAATAAATTTTTTTATTTTCTAAATTATTGTCCGAAGGCACAATCGAATTACTTTCTTAAAACGATACGCTGTCTATAGAAAATTATGATGCTATAAATTAAATATATATTGCACATTGTCTCATGTATGTAACAAACTCAATTACCTAGTATTGTTTTATAAATTTGCACTATTTGTTAAACTTGAAATTTAACAAAATTTAATATCAATCTAACTAAAATTGCAAGTACAAAGAATATAATTTTTTAGTAAAAGAATAAAGAAAAGAAATTAAAAGAGCTATTTTTTCTTTCTAAATAGTGTATATCAAACTTCTTGCTTCTTACAAATATCAAGAACAAAATCATATACTTAGGCAATGAAAAATAATCATTTCTGATCATTATGAAAAATAACTATTTTTGATCAATTTTAACCATTATGTAAAATAATCGTTTATGACTATTATAAAAAAATATTTTTTTTCTGACCGTTATAAATAAATGATTAAAAAAAAGTTCTTATTTTTTAATAATATAATTTGAACTTTTTTAATATTTTATACAAATACTCTAACATAAACTATGCCATGTTTTTATATGAATATAATTTAAAAGGTAAAAGAGAAAAAGAAGTTTGTCTAGCATATACAATGAATGCGCAAAAAATTAATTTTGTGTAATTATCATGCATTGAGTTAATAATAAATAACGGTGTAATAATAATAGAAAGCAAAGACCAATTACGCATTCTCGATTTAGTCTGCAACACAAAGTTCAATTACAAAACCAAGGTTACAATTCGAAAACTATTGATTATTGTTAGTTGCACATGTAAATTTTTAAATTATAGAAGAAACTTTGTTGTGTAAATGCGAAATTTGGTTAGGTATCAACACCCATTTTATGTTCATAAATAAATAAATAAATAATGTGTTATCAAATTGTATGAATGTGAATTTAAAAAGTTCGTGTCTTCAAATAAGTACTTGAAGAAGGAGCATGTATTTCCTCTTTAATAAAACAAAATACAACAAACTACATAATTTTTCATTATCTTTTAGCATCAGTGGAATCAATAAGATTACATTAAAAAAATATTTTTTTTTAAATAAAACTACTTATATTTAGTTATCGACTAAGTTTTTATTGCTACTTAAAAATTAAAACCCAAAAAGGAATATTTCTGTTTAATAGTGTTTGATTAAAAAAAAACCTAAAATAACTGAGGTTTTCCTTATTTATTTAATGTAGCTATGGACTCCTTATCACAATTCATTGATGCCTGGTTTTTTTTTTTTTTTATTTCTGCATCTTTCTCCAGCAATTATATGCAAATTATACACACTTTAACGCTTTGGTCCCTCATGTTTTCAAACGTTTTATTTCGATTCAGCTTTTTGTTTTGGGTTGGTCAGGACCCAAGGGCTGGAGAAGTAGTCTCAAGCGTGGCTGCCCTCGCGCTCAGCTTGCAGAAACAGGCCCAAGAGAGCAGGGCTTGGTTCGCTCACATGCCTGACCAAGCAAGCTCAGGCGGGCTTGCTGGCCTTACGCGGCCCTGCACAAGCAGACCCAAGTGCGCGGGCCTGGGCTGTTTTCTTTCTTTTTTCTAAGAATTTACTTATATATATATATATATATATATATATATATATAAAAGATTATATTATTCTTATTATTTAAAATTTATTTTTTTATCGAATTTCTCATAAAATTAATGTTTTATTTTTTAATATAATTTTATTTGTTAATAAATATAATTTTTTTATATATAAATTTTGAAATAAAATTTTAGAAAGTAATTATTTTATTTTTTTAATATATTATTATAATTTATGAGATGAATTTTTATGATTTTTAAATGAAAATAACATATATATGATCAAAATTTATTAAAACTAATTTTGTTATAATTTTTATTTTAATCTATTCACTTCAACATATTACATACAACTTAAATAGTTTATATATATATATATATATATATATATATATTAGTTTTGTTAAAAATTAATTATATATATACATACACAATAACAATTACTTGTTAATTTTTTTTATGTTCTAAAATCAATATTTTTTAAATAAAATAATTAAAATAATGTTTTGAAAAACCCTCATAATTATTGAAATACAGCATTTTATATTAATATTATTGATTTTTTAAAATAAATAAATATAAATCAAATAAATTTATTCGATTTATATTAATGACTAAAACTCGTACTATATCATTCCCTACATACACAACTTTAAACGAGTATCCAGCTACTTATATCTGTAATGAAAACATAAAAAGTCCTCAAAATCATTCCCTCAAATTATATGATGCCACGTCTATCATTGTAGTATAGATATGTAAAGCAAGGGCAATGATTACAACATAACGAGTAAAATAATGACAGGCGGCAAAAAATATTAAGATTCACCATCATAAAAAAACAACAAAACAAAAAGGTATATCAAAAAATTCCCTCAAACTATACGATGTCACATGCCTATCATATAAAAACACTCATATTCATTGTAGTATAGATATGTAAAAGTAGGGCAATGATTAAAACTTAATAATGAGTAAAATAACGACATGTATTGAAAAATATATTAAGATTCACTATCATTAAAGGGGAAAAAAAAATCAAAAAGGTATATCTAAAAGTCTGCATACTGTTTTACAATTTCCGCTTTGGATGCCTGAACCCAGTTTTGAGCAAGCCGACCTGCAGACTGAACTGCTTTACCAAATCCGGTCTCTAAGCAGAAATGTATGGGAGTAAAGAGGGAAGGAGGGAAACTTGACCCTCTGAATAGAATCTCAAAATATTCCTACAGAGAACATGCGACGCTTCAAGATCCAACCAAACCCTTGTAGCGAGCATATGTCATCAGAACTATGAACAGAGATGCACAGAACACTCCTGTTACAATTACCACCTGGCAACATAAAAAACACATGATTCACCATATAAAGCAATTTATAATCAGCAGCTACATTCACCAGTAAAAGTACTTTGCCTACCCATTTAAACATGTACCCATGATTTTCATTCCATGTATATGGGATGTTCATGCCAAATATGCCAGCCACCAAGGAATATACGGAGACACAAACAGTCCCTGAACTCAGAAAGAGCTCTAACTGCAGCAAAAAGTGAAAATACAACATGAATAACAGATCAAAATACACAAACAATCCGTGTCTCTATGTGTGTGCATGTGTGTGCGGTTGGTTGTGAGCGAATCGGTCCAGAGGCAAATCATCAAGAGAAAATCGTAAAACACCTGAATCAGCTGATTTCGATGATTGTCAAGCTGCAAAAAAAGGATGCATAAATTTAATGTAAGAAAACATGCACAAACAAGGAAGCAAACTTCAGTGTTCAATTCAACATTGCCTACCTGAATATTAATGTAATCCTCTGTGTCATCAATATACTCTCTCAACTGCATATTTCAAATTTATGCAATTAAAAAGGATGAAAATGCTTTGTAATTCTTGCCATAATGTGTCTTCAGTAGCATAAAAGAAAAAGTAATTAAAAAGGACATACCGTTGTCAATTTGTTCAATGTGCTATCAATTTGCATAAAGTAAGCCTGCAAAAACATTATCATCCATTTTCGAGAATAGGTTCTTCTTTATCCCACTTCGAACGGGCATAAAAAATGAAAGGTAAAACACTGTTAGAAACTCTACCTCTAGTAACATTTCAAGCTCCTCAACATCGTTCTCATCTCCACGAACTGTTGCCAAACTTGCTCTACTAGCCCTAGAAATTTTTGAACCTATTGTAGGTGAAGCAGGAAACCAATTCACACCACCAGAGCCACTGACTGGTGAAGATGCACCAGCCAGCTTTCTTGATAGGTAAAGGTCAGCCATATCATCATCATCATCAAGTAACTGTTCAAGTTCATCTCTCACCTACAATAAATTGATGGGAATATCATTACCTGTCCAGTCTGCAGAAAATTTTAGGGGAAAGTTAAGCATGTTATTTTTCATTACTGTTAGATCAGTCAATTTTCCAGTCTCTTCTGCAAATTATCCCCAAGTAGGAGCTAACTTATTTGCTATTTAGCAGATTTCTTGGGCTAAGAACATCCCACATTGGATGTTGATTTTCATAATCCCTGAATGTGTGACATCCTTAGCTACATATACTTCTTGCATAAAACCATGCACTGTATATGAATCAGTTGAAACTGCTTTTATCCAAAAAAAGCAAGTTGTTGGAGTGTATCTGCTTAACTGTCTGTCAACATTTTTTGAGACAGAAGATTGAATCCAGAACAATTCGCCAAGACAGGGTGCAACGTCATATGACAATGAATCTTTCCCGAGTATTGTGATATAAGGCAACTAAAGGTCCTATTATTTGTTGATTACATTCAAATCCATCAGTCCCCTGAACATATAATCAAATGACTAAAGATGCAATCATAAATGTTACAAGTATTTTATACAGCAATTTTTTGCAAACACCGCCAACATTATAAACCTACCTTCTGTACCCGAGCAGTCAACCTCGTCATTGCACTCTTCAATTTACGAACTCTATCTAAATTTCGGCTACTAATCTGCCCATTCAAGAAGGGAAAACAAGAGAGTCAAAATAGAAACAAACAACGAATGCAGGGTTCTGCAAATAAGGTAAATTAACTTTATCCAGCCTAAATTTTGCCTTGCATGTGGAAAGAAAAACATCAAAGAGTAATTGAATCAAAACATGCAGGGTTCTGCTTAGACAGTAATTTATTGAGTTCAAATTGTTGAATACACAATATATGCACACAATTGCAAATGATAACACTACTGACTGTAATAAGCAAATTACAACCACTGGAAGCTCAACTCAAAGGAAGTAATACCGAGTATAAGAAAAAGGAAAATTGAAAAATAAGATGCTACCATAAAGAGAACAAAGCAAATATCCACCATCTCTATATCACCATACAACAGATCCTCCAAAACCTTGTCAACCTTTAATTTATTTTTGGGGTGTATGTCAAAATGTCATCCGACCTAGCATTATAAAAGAATAAAAGGAGCAACACCATTCATAGTAGCACTTGGAAAAATAAACGAAACACAACTGAACATTAAAACAAAATAAAATGGTACAACCAACTCAGCACAACTAAATAAAACGCCAAAATTGAATTCAGAAAGAAGAGCAAGCTTCCAATACTACTACTAGGGGCTCTGCTTAAGAACACAAGTACAAATCTACAAAGTAACACTAGGCATAATCTCAAAGATGTTCTTCTGACCAGATCAAATACGAATTACATAAAGCTATTGGATTCCTACAAAATGTCAAGCCACAGTAACCAGCTAATACGCCACACTCCCATAATTTAAAAGGGGGAAAAACCATCACAGCAGTCAAAAAAGAGATATGACTCCATGGCCAACAAATAGTATTAACCAGTAAACACAATCATACAATAATCACCACAGATATCTATCTCCCAACACAATATTTTTGGTGATTTTACATTATCTGTTGCATGTTTTTTGTCCAATTCCTTAACTAAGGTGTGGCAGACATTTCCTCCCTCTAAGAAAAAATAATCAACAGAAGTACCTGGAGGAGACTATTAAATGAAAAAAGAAATATTGATTACAAGGAAAACAACAAATACTTACTTTGGATGTAAGCTCATCTAAAGCAGGATAAGCAGCAGTCTCCAGCTCTGTTGTACGTGCAGCTAGAAAACTACAAATGGCTTCCAGCGCTACCTCCAAGGCACGGAATTCAAATGGAGACTCTGTATTGTACAACCCAGATTACTCAACAGACAAAAAATTTCTAGATGAACCAAGCATGATGTAAGGAAAACATATTTGCAGAACTAGCAGAAAAAGCCTCTACACTTAATTGTCAATGCAAGAATAAATCAATGAGGCATACCATCCTCTTCGCCACCTTCAACATCATGTTGTCCACCAGTGTACTCTCTCCCATTTCCTTGACCTTGCCGAAAGACATTTGCAGGAGGCAGTCGCCTTTGAAGTTCCTCAACAACAGGAATAACATTTTCATCCAACGGGTCCCGAAGCAAAACCTATTCCATATTTAAAAGAAATAATCAAAGCTATATAAGCATGATTTGTTGGAAACCCTTTTTCTTTTTTCCCGCGCGGCGGCGGGTTGGGTGGGTGGGTGTGTGGGGTGTGGTGGTTGGTGGTTGGTGTTACGAATTCAAACACAGGCAAATAGTATCAAACTCTGCTGATCACTTATACCTACCATAGAAGAATATTTCCTAAACCCAGAACCCAAAAATTCATTCAGCAATCAAATTTAATCTCAACAATCTCAAAAAGAAAAAAGAGAAGGAAAAAAAAACACAAACCTCAGCAGAAGTAATGATTGCTTTGATATGCTGCAGCCATTAAAAACAAGCAAAACCACAAATAAGCGAAAAAACAGAAAGAAAGAAAATAAAAAAGAAACACTCATAGTAATAATAAAAATAAACCTCCAAGTTCAAAACGATGGCCCCCTCACGACCGAGAATGGTGGAGGGATAAGACAAGAGAGGGTCTAAAATCCGGAGATCGCGGGCGTGAATCTGAACACGATTCATGATAGCATGTTTGTCTGCATCGAGGATGGTGCCTTGCCCGGTAGCGTCGACGAGAATCCAACTCCTGGCAGGCTGCGTCTTCTTCTTGACGGCAGTCACCGCCAGAGGGTCCGCCGGCACCACGTACCCGTCCCTCGCCATCTCTCATTACCGTATCACATCACATCTCCTTCAATTAATATTATAATTATTGCTATTTGTCAGTCTATTTGTTTATTACCGTAAATAAAAAAACGCAATCAACAACAATAACAGAAAGAATGCGTTTGTATTTAATTTAATTTGTTTGTTCAAAATTTTTTTTATTAAAAAAAAAGAAAAGCGAACGGGTTGTTTGGGTGATGGTGAGAGTGAGAGTGCGAGAGGGGGCAATGGGAGAATCGGATTCCTTAGGCAACCAATTGCTCTTCTTTTCTTTTATTATCGTGGGCGGGGTGGGGAAGAGAAAGCGAATTGCAAGTTGCAACCCCCAGAGTTTGGTTGTGTTGGGTTTGGTTTTTTATTTTGAAAGAGATGAGATGGAGGGTGGAGGGATGGTGATCACATAAATTCAAGGGTGTAAGTGTGAGAGTGGCAGTACCTATCTATTACTAATATACTACGCTCTCAAGGTGTTTGGGTGTGATCATTAATGCTGCTAATTGACGATTGAAACGGAAGGGTAACTGTACTAGGATACTCCGTGTTCCATCTTTCATTATTATTATTATTATTATTATTATTATTATTATTATTATTATAATAGTCTATGCATCATCTTACATTCTTTTTTTTTTCTTTTCTTTTTTTTTAAGGATGTTTTCATTTTTTAAATTCATGGACGTGTATTCGTAATTTTCCTAATTAGAGTCGGTTGTATTATTGAAGTTGCTTATGCCATACCTGCCAAATGCACCACGCATCCTTGCCCGGGCGGATTTACACCGTGGTGTCATTTGGCTTTTTCTTAAGTTTACCATATGTTATTTAACTCACTCTTCTTTTAAATTGAACCAAATTGTCAATTTTACATATTAAGTTGTGATGAAAAAGGACACATGAGAGATATATTATAGAAAACCTTTTTTCTTACTCTCAAATCCTTATGACTCTTAGAGTACTTTTTTTTTTTTTTTTTATCCTCACTCATTTGAATGGTTTGTCCAAACGAGGATCTTACCTATTTATAAGACTACTCCTTCTAAATGAATTATTAGAATTAATTTAATCTAATGACTATAATTAATTATTTAGAATACTTCTATTTAGATATTTACATGCAACACTCTAGATATATACTTACTAAAACAACTAGTAACTTTACAATTATCTATGATATATCTAGATTTCTCTTGAACATGTTTGATACTTCTCCAATGTTCTAAAAACATTCGAAGCTTTTAGATTTATCTAGCATTCTTTTTTAACCTCCGGAAGGCTCTTTCCTTGCAGTGTGTCACACTCTCCTTCATCTAATCCGACGACATTCTCGTAATGTCTTATTAGTACACTTTGATCTTTTATGCAAATTGTCACAAAACTTCGCAAGTTTCTAGCTAACCCCTCGCTTTTTGGTAATCCTTTTTATTTTACATAGTACTCATTCCTTGATAGCAATTTACAATGTTAGATTGTGTGGTCATCGAGTATGACATCAATCTCTTTGTTATACGAGTCAACTGTTGCTATAGGCATCATATGGAATACTCTCTAGCTTGGATCCTCATCATCTACATGGTATGATTTCAACATACTCATGTAAAACATTGCATGGATCTTTAATTTTGATGGCAACTCTAGTCAATATGACCCATCTTTTACTTTGTGCACAACTTTGAATGGTCCTCCGTATCGACATAAGAGGTCCTTGTGCACCTTTCGAGAAGTTTTATGTTGTTGTGATAATAACTTTACAACCACTTTATCTCTAGATTGGAAGTTCACATCCCTCCATCTTTTGTTAGCCCATTTCTTCATCTTTGTGGCGCTTTTTTTGTTCAAATACATGCATGCTAGGTCTACCTACTCTTGCCATCTTTTAGCTAGTAAATATATAATAGGACTATTTTTTTCTTTTTTTATATTTATCACCAAGCACTATTGTATGTAGATTAAGAGGCTACTGGCTTGTAATTATTTCAAATAGACTCTTACTAGAGACTCACTTATCCGCAAATTACGGAAGAATTAGATAGCATCTAGTAATTTAACGTTATCTCACTAGTTTGACATTTATAAAATGCCTTAAGTATGTCTTCAATAATGCATTAACTCGTTTGGTCCGCCCATCCATTTACAAGTGAAAGCTTGCAGAGTAATGAAACTTTGAGACCATCGATTCAAAAAATCTAGTCCGTAAATTTTTAATAAATAAAAAATCTCGATCACCGATTATATGTGCTTAAAGAGTAACTTGGTGGTGTTCTTTACCATCATATCCGTTGAGATTGATATGAATGTCGTATATTTGAAGAGCTTATGCGGGACTATGATATTTTTTAGACTTAGGCAATACCACTATATAGCATATGGTCATTGTTTCCCACGGTCTCTCTACGATAGCAAAGGTTTTAATAGTCCTTCAAGCATTTTGTTTTTCATTTTATCTTGTTGGCACATAAGACATGTCGTAATATAAGACTCTACATCATCGCGCAACTAAAATCGGTAGTATGTTTCTTCTAATAATTCTTTAGTATATTGTTATCCTAGATGTCCGATCTACATCGAATCATGGCATTCTTCTATTAGGTCCCGTTGTAGGTTTTCTTACTTAGGAACGTAGATTCTCTTCCCTTTAATGTAAACAATGTCATCCTTTTCATAGAATTTTTGAGTTTACCCCAAACACTCAACTATGGCTTACTTGAAGAACTATATGTCTAATACAACCTTGAAACAATCCATTGCAAAAAATATGAAATCTAACCTTTCCTTCCATACACCGATGTCAAGGATTGAGGGAAGTATTCATCATTTTCATGCTACTTAAATGACTTAATCATAATCAAACTAAGTCTCTTAGCTTCATCCTTGGCCATAAAGTTGTGTGTGGCACTCGCTTACAGCATGAAATAGTAGTCTTATCATTCATGTCCACATCCACGTATATTAGTCCATTCTTCGACGAGTACCTTAGGTGAGGGCTTCACATTTAGGACATTGATCAACGATAATGATCTTATATGCTTTTCATGCTTAAGAGCACACTCTTTTTCTTCCATTTGAAGGATTATGCATCCTATAGAGGTGCGAAATAAAATAAAAAATTTTCTCCATCTAAAATTTTTAAAATCATGTCGTTGAATCAACTAACCATATATGCATGCATTAAAACATAAATAAAGAATTACCTCTTGTAGCATAGATTTAAACATTTATAGAAAAAGAGTTGTCCAAACATCCGACCTCTATTGACAATCCATGTAGTCCAAACACTCACACAAGAAGCACTCAAAATTAGTAAAGTGCTAGCTCCATCTTTTCTTACTTATTTAGTGTTTTTACTTTAGAAATCTATTTAAGGATATTTTATGACAATTCTAAGAGAGATGGGAGAAATGGTGTTTGCTAGGGTAGGGAGAAAACTATTTTTCTCTTTGTTTTTCTTTTTGCTATGTAGCCACTAACGTTAATTCTCTCTTTGCCGCACCTCTCATTCTATTTATAAGGGGAGAGGCTTCCATGTCCTCCAAGGACAAGGAAGGGGTGGCAACTTATCCCATGTGGACTCTAGGTTGTTACTTCCTAATCCTCTAATGATTAGGAGTTATTATACATGTGGGTTTTTTGATCACATCCTTTAAAACATTCATCCTTATCCAATACGGTTCATGTTTATCCTCACTATCAAAATATCTTTTAGGCTTAGTCCAAACTATTTTGGTCTAATTAATTAATTTGGACTATCCAAATAAACTAAATATTTTTTAAGAGGCTCACATTACGAAATAATTTTTTAAATTATCCTTAAACCTAAATTAGGAAACTAATTTCCCTTCAAGTAATTTACTTTCAAATTTGGAACTAACTTCCAAATTAGAAAACTGATTTCTAAAATAGAAAACTTTTTACAACATCTTTGCTTCTCTTTTATTATATGAGTGCTTAAATTTATATGTATGACTCAATAGACTATTAGATATGTTGGCAATGTATCATAAAAAAAAACACATCTTTTATCTCTTGATACATAAATCAAGATTGACCTCTAACAAGGCATCATGACTACCCGATATTCTAGGAGGATTAAACCTATGTGCGTGACTCAATAAGCTTTTAGATATGTTGAAAATGTATTAAAAATAAAAAAAAAACTCCTCTTTTATCTCTTGATACATAACTCAAGATTGGCCTTTAACAAGACATTATGACTACCCAATATTCTAGGAGGATTAATTAATCTTTAATTATCTTTCACGAGTATGATTATCATACAATTCGGTCCTCATGTCAACTTATCGAGTGTGATCTCGAACTTGGTTATTAGTATGTTCGATTGCGATCATATAATTTTTTTCGATTTCTAAATGTCTTAACTCTTAGAGTAAACCAACTATGCTATATTGGTGTACTCCTACCGTGGTCACAGATTTCTTGAGCAGTACATTCATCAAAGTGCAATGTGATAACTCTTGTAGAATATAAAGAATGATATGTCCTATCATAGCCATCCACCTACCTCCATTAGATTCCTAGTGCACAAAACGAATAGTCCACGTGTAACCCTTTACTAGGTCCATCGAAACGAGTGTCAAAGTACACGGGTTCTCTAATGAGATAACATAGATGATTTCAAGTTTAAGGATAATTTATACCCATCTCGTATGAGATTCTCATAGACTAAACCAAATAGGTTCTCATTACATGTCAAGTTCGATGATATGTTTTCTAATATAGATTACCTAAGTGCTTGCTTTGGCATTACCATGTCAATATGTGTGAGATCTCTTATTGCTATCATATAACATGAGCATATCACTCACAAGTTTAACTGTATATAACTAATGTTCATTCTTGACAATGCTATAATTTGGGATATTTAATGATATCATTTATGTGTATTAATGTTTATCTTACATCTTTCGATCAATCACTAATGCAAATGCATATCATATGAACTTCTATATAATTCTATTCAATAAGTAAATATAAACGACAAGAATTAATAAAAAGACTTTTTTATTAGTAATAAAATAAATAATGCAATGATACAATAACTCAAACCTATCTAAAATATGGTTGGATCTTAAGCACCTACATTAACACCATTATGGCATTGAGGGCTTTCTATTATAGACACTCTCTTTATTGATGTGATCCGTTACAAAAATAATAATCCTTGGATCGGAATTCCCTCTTGTTTTGGTCTTACAAAACCTTTAGATTTGTATGATTTATCATGCCCATCTTTATATTCCTTATTCTTTTGGACTCTCCCATCATTATCCTTAGTGTTTATTGGGCTTTGAGGATTCATCTTTCTTCTTATACTCTACTAAAAATTTAGCTTCGAAAACTAGCTCAAAGAGTGAGGTTTTTTCTTGCCATTATAACCAATCGCCTAATTCCTTCTACAACCAATATTGAATAACTCAACAATAAATAGAAAGAATAAGGAACCTTTTAGTATTAAAAATAAATTAATTACTAGATTTTATAAAATTCTTATAGAAAAATATATGAGATTATAACTAAATATTAAATATATAATTAAAAACTTTTGGCATATATATATATATATATATAGTCATTGTTAGTTTGATGTATAGTTTAATTATATAATAAAATAAAATATAATATATTTTTCAAATATATACTTATTGAGACTTTAAAATTGTTTTAAGAAATTTATCAAGAAGAAGTGAGTTTAATTAGAAGGGTTGGTTTGAATAATGGTTGATGAGACACAATATAGAGATATTAGTAGAAAAGTTAAAAAAAACATTTTTTGACAAGGTAGAGTGAAAGAGGATTTGGCAAGACCTACGAATGAAATATAAGAAAATATTAAAAGTTGAAAGATAGATAAATGGCAAGAAGATAAATTAGTAAAATGTTAAAATAGATAGAAACAAACGAGTTAATTATTGTACATAATTTTTTTCTTATATCCGATAGTAATTTCTTCATCGTTATAAATATGTAACGATTAATTTATAATGAGATTCAGATCAATCAATTAATAATCAGTAAAATTATCTTTTCAATGATCTTAATTTTAATCATTAGAATTAGTTAGTAGTTTTAGTTAACTTTTCAAGGTAGATTTCACGTTTTCCCTTCCAATCTTGTGATTGAAAATCACATTTGTGTGATCACTTATTGTTGACACTACCAATAATGTGATAAAATGACAGTATTAAATTTGTCCTCATCAATCATAAATATTTATAGATCCGTCCTTATACCTAGTATTGACGACGACGATGATAATTAGATTAAAGTATAATAATGATGATCATCATCATAATGCAAGGAAGGAGACATCCAACGGTCCATTGACGATGCGTTCTTTTAAGTTATCGTTCCTTTTTGGCATTAGAACGGGAGGGCAACGTTGCCTCAGTCAATGGAATCCAACTGTTCATACAAGTAGAGTGGTTGGCTCAGGATTTGCCAACCCTTGTTGCTTTCATGATTTGAAAACTGAAGGACTTTTTCATAAATAATTTATAATCGCTTGAAAATTGGATAGGCTTGTTTCCAACCTAGTTTAAAGACTCTTCCACTAAACCGCTTGCATCATCGCCCAAAGTTACAAAATGAAACATTTGAATTTTCAAATCTCATATAATATAAAAACCAATGTTTTTTTTTTTTTTACAATTATAACAGTGATAAAAAAAATTTATAATCATAATAAAAGCCACAATTTTTCTAGACAGGTATATTTTTAAAGAGGTGGACTGCTACACAGAAACATAGTACATGGTTTTTCAATTCTCGAGTACTATTCCCATTTCCAAGCTCTTTCGTATTGAATTTTCATTGTTCTTAATTTTCAGAGAAAAGCTCTTCCTAATTTGATTTTAAAATATTCTGTATTTATTTCTTTATTATTAAACACCATTTTAGTTGTTTTATATGTATAAAAAAATCATTTTAAGTGATTGACTAATAGATCTGTGTAATAACTTCTTCATATACGAGATCAGCAAGTGGTACACCAATGCAACACTCCAACTATGAATTATCTATCCTGTGGTTCGACTTGTGAACCAGTGCAGTGACCTGTATTGGGTTGAGGTAGTAACGAAAATAGAAGCAGGCCCTATCCTTCCTTTCCGTGCGTCTGCATTAAAACAGACCCTCCTTCTTTGTTAAATGTTTTGTTAGAGATTATGCTTCGAATTTTTCTTACTCGAACTTGTGTACTGCAATTTTGGAACTATGAAATACTGTTACAGTTTTGGACGAAAAAGAAAAAAACAAGTAAAAAACAAAAAGAGTGCAGTTTACCCGAAATTATGCTTCCAGGACTACTTTCGCTTCTTGTCATCCCATGTTGAGAAAACTTTGACAGGCTAAGATAGCGATGACAAATTAACAATGTTGTAAAAGGAGCCTTATTTGGCAAAAAAATATCAAAACCCATTGACCATCCACTAAAACTCAATGAACATTGAATCAAGCGGGCAAGAGAACATAACTAGCTCTACTTGCAAGGCGCAACAAATCATATACCTTGTACACAACACAGGGTGCTTCTATTCTAAAAAGAACACACGAAATCTTTCACTCACAAACTTATATACAAACTTCTCAACTCATAAGTATAGTTTAGTGGAAGAAACAGAAACATGGGAAAAACTATGTACGAAACACTTCTATTTGTTAACCCCTCACTGCCAGGGCCTGCAAATGATCTATGAAATCTTGCAAGCTCAAATCATCAGTATGTATGATTTCTGACCCATCTATGTATGTTGAATTCTGAGTCACAGATGGATTCAACTTGGCAAGAAGAAACCTAGCCTGACTACCGTGTTGATCGCACTTAATTAGCTTGGGAGCTGGAACTCGTTCCACCACCAATTGTTCTGCATCAAGTTCAGGAGCTTCCAAAAGCTTTCTCAGATTCTCATGGCTTGGATGTTTGTGATAACCAAGCTTCATCCACTGAGCAATCTTGGATCCATAATGAATCACCACATGGAAGTACGAATCAAAAAGCAAAATAACATCATCAGAAATGGAACGAACATCTAGGAGGACAGGAACAGGAGGCCCATCAAAAGAATATTGAAAAAGAGTGGGTTGTATCATGATAAGGGAACCCACTACCCCTTCACGGTTCAGCATAAGGCGGAAGAATGCAGTTTCATCAGGTGTACAGTTGAAAACATCGATGAACTGGGACCTCCTCAAGTAATACATGAACTGTGGATAAAGAGAAAAGTTTGACGACAAGCGGAAGGAAGAAGGATCTTCCTGGATAAAGTCTCCAAACTTGGAAGCAAAGCCAATGAGGTTATCATCGAGCCATCTTATAACATCTCGAGCAAAACATCTCTCTGCTCGGTGGATGGCTAGCCTGGCCATGACTGAAGCTGCTGCTTCCTGATCAAAACCAGCAGTGATTTCTGGTGACTTGTTTTCAACCCATCTTCTTGCAGCAGTTGTAACCCTTTTCCGGACTCCCATGTTCCCATGTCTGTAGCGTGTTATAAATTGTACAAAAAATGCAGACCCAGGTTCGGCCTTCTGTTCATTACATACTTCGAAGAAGAAAGCTATGCATGTTTTACTAGTTAGTGTACCAAGCTTCCACATGTAAGTGCCACCCTCCCCAGTCTCACGGTCACTAACTACGTTGTTCTTTTTCCGAAGAGAAATGCATGGTCCAAGCGCTCCACAGATTTTTACATCTTTAGTAGTCACCACTTCAATTGTCGCATCAAAATACATTTTCAAATGCCCCTCTTCATCTCGACTAAAAATGTGCCGCAAGCACTTTCTGAATCGATCAGACTCAAACAACTCCCCTAACATCATGAACCCGCCAGAGCTCTCAACAGGACCTTTTAATTCTGCTGCACCTACTTGATCAAGAGAACAAGCAAAAAGATCCAGAACAACAGATGCATCAGATAATCTCTGTGATAGCCGATTGTAGAAGCTGCAGGATTTTGTATAGTACGGTGTATGACCATTAATGAGGTCTCTATGATTTCTGATGGCATTACTAAGATCTGAGTCCACAATAATCCCTGGGCCCAAAGTTGCAGGTCCAGATGTGAAAATCATGATCCGGGAGCCAGTATTCACTGAGCATCCTTCAAGAAGTCCAAGTGCAACTGATATTGCTGCTCCTGTGCTCCTTTGAGGGCGATGGCCTGGCATGACTACAGCTAAAGAACAGATTTCTTCAATTGCAGTGGTTATATTGAACTCACATTCAGCTACAGGGAGCAAAAATCCCTGCTTCTGGATAACTGGTGTCTTCCCAAGTTGCTGCTGCTGCCGCTTGGTTCTGTATATGCCCAGAAATTGTTGGGTCTGCAGGTTCAAAGGGGAAAGCAAAGAACTGATTTTAAGTAAACAGAGACATTTGTTATCCAACATATAACACACACACACACAGATATATATATATATATATATCAAAAAGCTTTAGGCACATTGAGTATATCATATATTTGCAAATATTGCCCTATAACATTGTAAGATACTCCCTAGGATATCTGATACTCCCTAAGTTATCTGATATCTAGGACAAATTGCAAGCATGGATCGAGCTAAAGGCAAGGTAAACAAGCAGTGAAGGTACAAACAATTCGATCAAATCACATTTAGCCTTCAAGCAAAGCAAATATGTCCATAAAAAGCATCAAGCTCGAGCCATCTAATTGAAAAAATAAAACCTGCAGCACAAGTGACTACAAAATCACAACAGTGAACTGCTACATAGTTTGGCTTTCCAAATCAGAAAACCTTATTAGTCTTTTCGGAAAACATTAATCCTTTCATCATCAAAATCCAAATCCCCTCCCAGTTGATGCACCTTAAATAAGAATTAACACTGTTGTAAGCATACAATAAATATGCACATGACCCTCTAAAGCATACAATTGCACGTGGAAACTACTTTAACTTAATAGTCTAAGCTTCGAAAAATTATGACGATTAAAATCACCAATTTGGTAAACAAAAATAATTCTACAATTGAATATTTAATCCAAGTACCTGCTCTGACGAAACCTCACGTCCACCGTGAAACACAACAACCCTTGAGCACTCTGAAAATCCCAAATCATAAACCCTAACCATTGCATCAAAAGTAATCAACCCAACCAAGGCATTTTCCGGCAACTGCTCAACGACCAACAACAATTCATTCTTCACTGCCGTCAACTCCTCCTCAACTATACAAGCGTCCACTACAAACACAAACGCCGGGACAGGCCCCATCAATCCCCTGACCTCCCCACCAGCAGCAGCACCACCACCAATGCTCCTAGGAGTCCCCGCAGACATCATAGACGACAATGACACATTAGACGACGAAAACCCATTAGACCAACTATAACCCAAATGCGAATTAGACCCAAATTTAGGATCAACCTTATCAATTTTGTATTCTACAGTACTGTAAGTAGGAAAAAGTTCAGCAGGAAGATTGGTTTCGCCGATACCTGAATAAGAAATAGGGAAATGATTTCTGTTGTAGCAGAAAGGACAGACCCAAATGCGAGACTGATAATCTACACGAGCATAAGGGTTCAAAACAGCAGCACAGCGAGTGCAGATTAGAGGGTCGTAAGGTAGAATTGGAAGCTCAGTTGATTGCATCAGTGGAGTGCACATGATGCTAAGTGGGATTATAAGAGAAGAAACTTGGTTTTTCGTTGTTGGCCATGCGTTCCATGACCAACGTAGGCCCTCGATCGCCTCTAATTCGATGAAGTCCATTCTGGGGTGGTCGGATTTCAATCTGTGAATGTTTTGGGTTTTTTAAGGTGATTTCATGGGAGGTAAAGGAGTTTTGTTTTGCCAAAAGTTCACAGATTTAGGATGGAAGAGAATCTGGGATGTTGTGTTGTGGAAGTAATGGCGTGCTCGGTTGCTGAGAAAGTCCGTCAAGGAAAGGTGAAAGACCCCATGGTTTGGATCATTGGATGCTGGAAATGGTTGATTTTGATGAGGGTTTTGAAAGGTGGCCGCCCGATTAGCAATTGTTTAAAGTTTAAATGGGTCGGATCAGAGGGTATCGGTCGAAGTTTTTCAATCTACCACCATCTTTCTTTTTTTTTTTTTTTTTAGCTGTGATACTTTGTCGTTGTTTGGGATCATCATTATTGTTATTTTTTATTTTTTTTATGAAAAGTTTTTTGTTTTGTCATAGCATACATTTAATATAAGTTTTTGTATAAAATTATGCAGAAAATCTTTATTAATATAATTTAAAGAGAAACGGAGAAAATGAGAGTGTCTCGTATATAATATGAATAAATAAAAAATATTATTAGACAATAACAAATAAGAATACAATAATAATAAATAAAACTAAAACTAAATAACAATACAACAATAATAAATATATGTGTCATCTCTCAATTCTTTGAGTCAAACCAAAAAACTCAAGAATAAAATACAACCTGTCCGGCTTCACACAACCACATTTCCCCAATCAAACATTTTCAATATATTATACAAATAACAATAAATTATTATACATTTATTTATTTACTTTAAGTCCAAAGACGCTTTATATAATATCATATCTCTCACTTTAATACACACTAACCTTTCTATTAGATGTTTAATTTAACTAATGTTAAATTTCCTAGAAAAAAAAAACTAATATTAAAAGTGTTTAAATCTTATCTAATATTTGATAGCTCTCAAAATAAATAAGCTATCATTTATTATCCCCAATTGTTATACAAACATTCATCATTTTTCTTTTGCAAAATTTAGTTAGAAAATAGATGTTAAATATTATTGTCAATGAACATAAAAAACATTAGATCAATAAACTTCTTCAACTTAATTTTTAATCCAAATTAATAACATAATGAAATAATACAAACCTGTAATACACGAATAAACTAATACATAAATTCAGTGATTAAATCATAGTCACAAATTTGCAATCCTCATCGGGATATGATTGTTGAGATAATTACATTAAATTTTAATTTTTTTAATTGAATAAATGAATTTTTTTTTCATTTGGCCATATCGAGCTATTTAAAATTACCAATCAAGTATTTTTGTCTAACTTTCGTCAATTGTTCGATTATCTAATTAAGAATCCATTTTTTTTTAAATATCAAATTATAATTCTAATATTTCATTATTGAAAAAAATCTTTATATATATATATATTATCTATTTTAAATAGTAAAGTATGCTTTTGTCCTTTAATGTTTGGGGGATTATATTTATATAAATATATAAGGAAATAATTAAAAGAAGTTGGATTCAAGTACTCGATTCCCATTTTTGAAAATAATAATTTATTCAAATAAAAAAATTAAAATTCATATACTTGGATAGAAGAAAAATTAAAATTTGATGTAATTGGAATGCAATTATCGATCTCATTGTTTACCGTGCTTTAGTGCATGCTCTAAATTCAATTAAAGGATGTTCGTCATCATTTGGACTTATTTCGACAACATTGAGCTATAATTTTAAGGGAAAACACCTTTTTAGAGGATAGATAAAAGTTATATGGCAATGGAAGTCGGTGGTTTGACCAAAATTGGGCGATTTGGTCGGATAGCTAAATGGGTCGAGCCATCGACCTTCTCTCCTTAATTTTGGCCAACTCCAATGTCTCTTTTTTCTCTAATTAGTTGGAAACAATGGATCTAAGTGTGAGCTATCGATTGGTGGTGGTGTTTGGAGGAGATATCGACTAGAGAGTGGTTGATTTGGGAAAAGAAGCGTTAGTGGGTTTGGCGGTATACCCATGAGTATCAAGGTCGATTGTTTCCTTAGGGGTTGTTTGGAATTTTTTTATTTATAGGTTTTTGTTTTTTTTTTTTTTTGGGATCTCGTGTCCTCCTTTAATGGTTGAAGGGGTTGGGTATTTATATGAAAAAAATAGGATTTTGGGCAAACAATAATTTTGATCCTTTGTTTCTCTAAATTTTTTATTTTAGTATAATTTTATTTGTTTGCATTTTGATTACACCCTTTAATTGAAATCAATCAAGACCTTTTCTTTTAATTTTCTTCAATTGTACAAAAAAAATCATTGGTTTCCAAATAAAATTTTTTTATTATATTTTTTACTCACAAATCAATTAAATTAATTGGGATAAAAATTAGGTACTAACATTTTATATGATGCTTCATCAAATTTTTGTTTTGTTTTTTCTTTTTTCATCAACTTATGATATACCTACTTGATCGTGATCATGAAATAAGTCTCTCTACTCCCATTAAAGACTATCTAGTTGAGAATTTATTTTGAACATGTTAATTTAGATAATGACATATGTCTCTTTAACTCTTTTTAAAGACCGTTTGATTAAAAATTTATCTTGAATAGGTTAATTCGGATCACTGCCAAAGGACATCACAACTAGGGAATAACTAAAAAATCAATATAGAAAAACAGACTTGAATGAAGAAGATGTCCTTTCTTATATTTTGACAAAAAGGACATATATTTAATGAAGTATGGTTTCATAGGATGTTCTATCACATCAACACCAAGCATGATTGCACATACACTCGTTAGATAATGACCATCACTTAAAGGGATCATAAACCTTCAAGTAGATATCAAGAGTTTTTAGAAATAAAGAAATAGACCAATCTATCTTCTACTATATGCAAGTTGATTACATCCACTCGCTATATAAAGGTTAACACATCAAGTATTATAGGTTCTACCTTCTAAACTCTAATATATACATACACACACACACACACACACACACACACACACCACATGAACTAAATTCATTAGAGCCTACTCAAGCCACACCACTCTTTGTAAGCTAACTTAGCCGTCGTAGGTCTTTTAAATACTATAAACGAGGATTATTTTATAAATATAAACCATCTACCTCATTAATTACAATAGTATAATCAACTTGGATTATTAGCCATCTCACCATCAATCTTAATCTAAGGATCATAGCCTTATTAGTGGCATCGTTTATGGAAAACTACATAAGAAGTTGATCTTTAACCTTTTTACTTTATGTTCAAGCTTCTCTATGTCCGACAATTAGAAAACTCTAACACATTCCACATTGTTCAATTTTGCCAATCTTAGTGTTTTATTGCTATTAGATAACGACCATCACCTAAAAGGATCATAAACCTTTACGTAGATGTCGAGAGTTTTTAGACATAAAGGAATAGACCAATCTATCCTCTACTCCATATAAGTTGATCACATCCCCTTCTATATAAAGGTTAACATATCAAGTATTATAGGTTCCGCTCTAAACTTATATATATATATATATATATATATATATATATACAAACTAAATTCATTAGAGCCTACTCAAGCCACACCACTCTCTATAAGCTAACTTAGCCTTTAGCGGGTCCTTCAAATACTATAAACAAGCTTGTTTTATAAATATAAGCCATCAACCTCATTAATTACAATGGTACAATCAACTTGGATTATAAGCTATGTCACCATCAATCTTAATCCAGGGATCATAACCTTATTAGTGGCATTGTTTATGGAAAAATACATAAGAAGTCGATCTCTAACCTTTCTATTTCTCTCTATTTAAGCTTTTCTATGGTTGATAATTAGAAAATTATAACACATTCCACACCTTTCGATTTTGCCAATCCTAGTTTTTTGTTAGTCAATGTTCTTTACTTACAGCAATACATCAAAATGTTAGTAAAAGCATACTTATCGATACAAGAGCAAATAAAATCTTTGACCACTCCTTTACTAATAGCTCAAACATAGCAAGTACCTTCATGTGCACCATTTTTAATGACTTTTGCCCTATCATAAGTTTTGTTACATGTACGCCTCTCTTGACAAAATAGACCAACTTGACACTCAATTAAAGAAAAAATGTTTAGACATAATGAGAGGAGGACTAAAAAAACCAACATCATCATTCTTTAAAACTACCAAAAAAATACTCTCATTGTTATGGCAAAAAACCAACTAACAAAAGTTCTCGTAGGGAGAGGGAGAGATGATAGAACCAAATATCACCACAATACCAAAGGTAGGTACAACACCACTAGAAATTGTCATATGGATCAATATGAGGTAGTTTCTCCTTCTCTTAAATTTTATAAGTAAGCCAAAAACTCAAGCATTAGCAGGTGAACAATAGACATGTGGTCACCAATCAATCTAAATTAGATCATTACTACTATAAGCTTTAAGACTCTATCCTTGCTTACTTCTTGAACTTTAGACTCCATAAAGAGTTATCTATCAAGAAAATGAACCTAAATGTCTACGATGGCATGACATATCCTTGGAAATATGTATAAAATATTTCAAAAAATCTTGAGTTAGTTATATAAAGCTTAGATGCCATGTGTAAGTTGATTTCTACTACCTTTTCGAGGGTGGTAGGAAGTGGTATACCAATATGGACTTTGAATCGATCTTCGGCTTTGAATATTTACACTTCAAGTTGATAGCTCGCTTCTCCACTAATATTTCCAATAAAAAACTTTGTTAACTTGTTTTTAGTCTCTAAAAAAAGCATTAAAACCTATATTTTTTACTTTCATGAGGAAATATTATGAGTCGATGGCCTGCTAAAATCCATAGTAACCGAGGTCCTTATATCGGGGGTAAGTGATGCCAACCTATAGAAGAAGATTTATAATTTCCAAATAAGAACCTCTACTAAGTAAAAAAAAATAGAGAGTCATATCTCGGTGGAAGAAGTGATAGTCATCCAAGTAAGCTCACCTGCATGTTCAAAAGATTATAAAGAAAGCGA